AAACCAGAGAAATATAAGGAAACCGAAGAAGATTTCGAACAAGATCTACAACTTCCTTCAGATGGAGCTTTGAAGCTCACTTCTCGTAAAGATATCCCGAAGACCCCCCAGAGTATCCAGGACGATTTTGACGATTGGGGTGAAGGCAGTTTAGGTACTCGATTTGGTGGAACAAAAAGAGATGGTCGATCCAATAGGAACTCGGATTCCTTTGCGATGAGCCCCAGTATCGCCAGTTCCATGACTGCTGAGAGTGAAGATGAAGGTCTTGAAGGTTTAGTCCTACCGAGTGGCCCTCTCAATTTCGAGGATATTCTCAAGAGGCGTCAACTAAATGATTGGCCAGAACGTCCAGTAGAGGTAAAGCAACCAAGAAAAAGTTTGGGTGGAAAGGATGACTTCTTGACCGGGCTTGAGATTGGCGATGGGGATGTCTTCGATTCGAAGAAGCTCACATTAAATCGTAACGTAAAGGTTAACCCTGCTAAACAACAAAGCCCAACTCGCCCCAAGCCATCGGTTTCATTAACTTTTACAAATAAACCTGCGCTTCCTTCCACCTCCCGACTCCCTAGGCCACATGGACATGAACGTATTCCATCATCTCTCGAACCAGTTTCGGAGAGTGGTGGGCCAATACCAAGTCGAAACCGTAGGTCGCAATCTAGGTTGGGACATTCAGTCCATTCTTCAATCAATAGTATTGGATTGTCTAACGCATCATCTTCTAATCATCCAATACCTCCATCAACTCCTCGGCGTCGTGAACTAGGCGCAAAGTTATCCACATCAACTCTGCGCAATGAGCCTACAACGACCAGTTCCCAACTACTAAAGCTCAAGCGGTCAATGCCAACCATGAAGACTTATCAGCCTTCGCCAGCTAAGCCAATGCCTACACGATATGAGAGACCTCAGTCTCGAACGGAAGTCAATAATAGGCCACTCTCAATGTCTCGGTCCAAGGAACCTGTCGAAAAAGATCGATCCGGAGCTGAGTCTAGCATGTCCTTTGTTAGGAAAAATCATGTTCCATTCTTACCTGCTGGTGGTGCTTCCAGTTCTCAATCACATCATGTCACTGCAAAAACATCCCGGCATCTTCGCCGTAACGATTCTGAGTCCTCAACTAATAGCGCCGATTTTCGTCCACCATCGAGAACGCTTTCAAGGCAAACATTTCGATCGCCCAGTCCGCGCAGATCTCTTCGGGGCGCCGATATGCTTGCTCGTGAAGCTACTATGAAGCGACAAATCACAAAACCTGTTCGACGAAGACATTTTGGTGATGGCTGTGAACTTGATGCTTTTGATGATCTACCTACTTCACGAGATGCAGAGCAAAAGTTTGTCAAAGAGCCAATTGGCCGTGGCCCGCCTAAACAGCTTTCACTTCGCAACAGAGCTCATCAACACATTATGCCCATTCGAAACTCATCGCCTATACCTCTAACACCATTGACACCAGCTAAGAGCAGGAGCGAATTGCCGCGCTTTGCGCGCGATACTGCCGCCAGCCGCATGGCTCGGGAAGCAACATCATCCCATCGCACTGTCTCTGGGTCTGGTGCTCCTCTTGCTGCTCTTACAAATCAATGGAGGGCGAAGGTTTCAGCAACAACTGGACTCAGTCCGGTTCATGTACAAGGTTCAGTTCGATCAAAAAAGAATAAGGTGCCCCAAAAGCCACAACTTATTAAGCCCATGGGAAATGTAAACAATCCCAGATGTACGTACACCCTCCGCATAGCTTCTTAACCTACCGCTAATCTGTCTTTGTAGCTGTAAAAGGAATGCAATATGATCCTATTAATTATCGATGGGAAGGCAACGAAATTGAAGCATCGGCCTTTGATATGCCAGCTTCTGCAACCCCGACAGCTTCAATACCTGTACAGACACCACGAGCGACAGCACCACAGATATACAGGGAAAAAGAATGCTCGACACCTCGTCCTGCGCTCATCACCAATATAAACTCTGCCCAAAATGTCCAAGTTGTTGGCGGAATGGTCTTTGACCCGCAACGTATGTGTTGGCTTAAAATGCCAGGGGACAACAAAAGAGCAAAAAGCGAATCTGGTGATACCATGGATGGATTTGATGCGCTTGAGGATGAGGACGATGTCTTTAAGGATGTTCCTGATCTTGAGGATGGGCCCTCTAAAGAGTCTGATGAAGTTTCTGGTATGAAAGGTGAAGGTGCCAGTGGTCTTAGCGATTGGCTTGTTGGTGAAGAATTTGATGTCGGTCCAGAATTTGTTAGGCGACAGAGAGAGGAGGAAGAGCGCTGGAGGAGAAAGTGTGAGAAATGGATCGGCGCCGCGCGCAACACTGAAGGAAACTCCTGGAGATGGAGTATTCGAGACGTAGTAAATGAATTATGATCAGATACCAGGAAAGGGATTAGGCATGAAGGCATGCTTTTTATATTCTTTGGGATAGTCTATTATCGGATGGTAAAAGATAGGAATTTTGATGAGGTGGATAGGTCGGATCTTGGTTTGTACTATGAGATGATGGTTGGGGATTGTCTTTTATTACACTATTTGCATAATGCTTCCGTTGTTATTTTTTTTTCTTGGAATTTTTGGACGACACAACATCAGGCGTACATTTGGGGAAAAGAATATCGTTGGTTTTGGCAGGAAGGCTTTGTTTTTTATTTACGTGGATGGATCGGAATGCCATCCCCAATACCCACACGATGATACATGAAAAAAGGATTCATGATGAAAGAAACGAACAAAAGCTTAATAGAGCTACGAAGGTTATGACTGTTATGATCGGGTTTATACTTGACTACTGTATTTTCTTGTATTCTACTCCTATCATCTACGGTTTATTTTATTTTGGGGGTTTTTCTTCCTAGGGTTTTCCTTCTACTTCAGTAATGGGATTCGTTGAAATGAAGAATAATTATATGGCATGGATATCGTCATGGATATTATTATTATTGGGTTGAAGAATTTGGGGGGGGGGGGGACATTTATATATCATGAACTGAATTACAAAGGAGTTTTTTTATTTTATTTTAGGTATTTGGTTTGGAATGGTCTTTTAGATGCTGTGCGTGGTTTTCTTGTGTAATAATGGATGTAGAGATCATTGACATAGGGGTGTGGGAATTAGGATTTATGTTGTGATATGTGATGGGTGTATCGAGTGATCGCCAATGCGTGCATAAGGAAACACGAGTTGGTGCGTGGGTAGGTAGTGCTACTCGCTAATTATCGTTTCATTAATATTGAGATTAATATTGAGATTTTCTTTTGATTGCTGTGCTACGTTGGTTGGTATATGGGTTTATGGGTTTATGGGTATATGGGTACCTAAATGGTAGCTCGCTAAGAAGTGATATTGGTGGGGTTCGATTGGATAGAATATGTCTCCTTTTTTTAGGGGGGGAAGATGGATGGGGGATTGGGTGGGTTGGTTTTGTGGTGTATGGTATCATTTTGTGGGAGGTGGTGTTTGGTGGGGTTTGATGGTTTGATGGTGTGTGCATTTTGGAAAGATTATATCAGGATGGGAGAATGTAATCAGATTGTAATGGAAGGGTAGTCTGAGGATAGCTTGTCGTCGCTGAGAGCGTTTTGTGGTTTCGTGGGGGATGGAGTGTGGAATCTTCTTGGATGTGGATGTGTATGGAAGTTATCTGGGAGGGTTGTTGGGTTTTATATCTTTGCAAGAATAGTATAGTTATTTGCTTCGTTGCTTGCCCTCGAACTTCGTGTTTACTGGGGTCTGGATGGCGTGAGCTTTTCAGATACCGCAGTGTCGATGGGGTTTTTGGATGTTGAGTTTTCGTTTGTGTGCTTAAGTAGGTACTTGGATGGATAGGTTGAGTATTGGATGGGTTGAACTTTTAATTTTATTGAGGATTGAACGTTCGAAGGATTGGAGCTTGAGTTCGTTTGGGGGTTCCATGGTCACTACAGATTTTTGGGAATTTTGATGAAAGGAAGATAATTCGAAGAGGGGGTGGAACGTGGAGGGAAGTTGGAAAGAGTGGAAGGCGGGAAGGCGTGCTAAGTTTTCGATATGCTTCGGTGGGTGGATCTATGTGTTGCCGTGTGAATGAGACGGGGATTGTTTGAGGAATCATATAAGTTATCTCTGTAATTATGATTGCGATCTAGTGATTCATGTAAGATTACATTATGATTTGAGAAAGCTCGAGTCAAAGTTGACTATGGGTGTGATTGATAATCAAGTCTGAAATTTTTAATCTTTGATTTCGGGAATGACTCGAAAGTAATGTTTTGTAAAGCATCATTCGAGAGAATAAATTTGATTTGATGATTCGAAGTATCGAATTTTGTCTTGGTATGGTGTATGATATGAGTAAAGATACACTACGACGTTTATTCATACCTTTCTGCGAGCTTTGATTCAGGAAAAGATGACTGGAGGTCCAATTTTTCAGTGTGGTTTCGACGATTATCAATCAAAAAATGTATTTTGACTCCAGAAACACCTCGATATGAGCCTTTTCGAGAGAAATCGTGACTGAAATGGTGGATTTCATGATTTTCTGGCGGAATGCGCCTGGATAATGAGTCGAATGTCGAGTTATGAGTCTGTCTGGGGTGTTTTTTAGGGACAAGTCACCCGAGAAATGATTTAAGAGTCAATGGTATAATCATTTTGAGGTGCCTTGGAGCTGCCTTGGAGATGCCTTGAAGCTGCTTTTGAGTGCTTAAATAGGCTGGGATTTCCCCTCGAGGTGGAAGTTTAGAAACCAAGCAAAATCGAATTTCGAGAGCGAACGCAAAACCATCAAAGATCCTCATCAATTTCAAAAGCAACTCGATCACCTTCGAAGTACAACCAACCAAAGCCAGTTCATCGAGACACTCTTCATCGAAAGCCTCAAAGACTCTAGACAAGTACCAAATTTGTTCGGACTGCCACCTCAAAAATACACACCAGCATCAGTGCCGGTTCCAAACAATTACAAAACCGACCACTCAATATCTATCCTCGTTCCGATCACCATGGAACTTCAGCGTTTTATACCCAAAGACCTCCGTCAGTATATTCAACTATCCCGTAATAGAAAAATAAACATACTGACCTGATACTAGCGGGAATATATGAAGATTTCAGCTTGTTGCACGCAAATCTCAAGGCGCTTGATGAACGCGTCCGCCGTCTCGGAAGCAATTCAAAACGCGCTAGAGCTATCGAAATACTAAGATATGTCATTACTAGAAGGGATGAGGATATCGCTTCAGAGAGAATCAGGATCAGTGACATGGAGGTCTACTGGAAGAACGTGGAGAGGGCGAAAATGACTGTATTGAATCAGAATCCGCCGGGTAGTCAAGGACATAAAGCTGCTCGAGAGGAGCAAAACAAAGCGTGCCATCAAATTTACGAGTACCAGACAAAGCTCCCAACGAGGCTTCGAGATTATAGTGAGTATTTGGAGTCTTGCGAGAAAGTACTCGACAATTGGACTATTCACGACCGTTAGCCGAATTAAGATGAGGAGAAGGACAGTCACTTTACACTCACTTCACATTATGACGAAGATTAATAGATTTCTTGGCTCCATGCGTCTATGATGGTTAGCTGAGGACATAATGAGGTAGCTGAAGGTGCCTGGGTGGAGGATTTTATTACAGTTAAACAAATAGCCTGACTTTTTATACTAGTTTAGTTTCTACAATACCAAGCATTCTAGTCCAACTTCTATTAAATTGACTCTTGATTTGTGACTCTGTTTACAACATGATTTGAGGAAAAGCTTCCTTAATCTATGATTTTAATGGTGACTCAAAATTGATGGCATTATTCTTTCGAAGGAGATTCAACAATATTATTAATTATGATTCGGATCGCATAGGGGTCATTTTTGACGCAGTCATTTGAAGGAATTTAGGGGTTTATGGGATACAGCGTGAATCAAAGGGCTTTTCTTATTGAATGACGCAGGGATTTTCAATGACTGGACCCTTATCTCTCGGACTCAAGAGAACATAAATACTCTGAGTCCCCGTCTGTTTTAATTCCTTCCAATATCCAGAAACAGTTGAACATCAAACATCAGACATCAAACCGAAAACTAAAAAGACAACACACCGAAATCCCCACCGACCATTATTAGAAACAAAAACGCGATAACACTTAGCCATCTCCAGTCAAAATTTGTGGTTCGTCGGTATTTCTTTCTTTGATATCACTAAGCTTAGTTTGTTCAGCCTCAAAGTTTGACATATTTCTCTCAACTATACCTTTTGATACATATTCTCTCAAGAAACATGGATATGTCTGATATTATGTCTGTCGATTTGAGCTTCGAAGTGCTCATGCCAGAAGTCGGACCCGAGCCTGAATACACAAAATCTACCAAATGCACTAGTATAGCATCATACACTCTCTATTCAATGAAACAATGCTGACTTCTCACCAGGTCGTATCATGGACTTATTGCAATTGATAAGAAATCTCAGAGGTGTCCCGGACAGCTCATATCGTGAAACTCGTGCCAGTTGCCAAAACGAAGCTCAAAAGTTGAGGAACGAAATCCGGTATGACGAGAAATCCTTGGGCAATGAGAAAGAAAAACTTGAGCACGAAATTGAATGGACATCTAGAAAGGATTTGAGAATAAAATTGGGGCAAGAATTTGGAGTTCCTCTGAACGGAAGAGATCATCAGATTGTTAAGAACTTGATGGATGGTGCTCTGCAGGAGATATCCGATAAATTTGAAGGTGTGGGAAAGATCAGAGTGTGGAGCCTGAGCACAGATAGAGAATATCTGGATCGATTGATCAGCTACTTAAAGCCAGGTCATCGTATGCATACATTCAGGATTAATCCAGACATAAAGAAATGCTACAGAGGCGTTGCTCACGACTGGGATTCATAACAATCCTAACACCTCTTTTACATAAGCGCTACCTCAGACCTGTCTCAATCCCTCACAGTTTTGACAGTTCGATGGTGGAGTGACGAGTACTAAAGAGCAAAAGCGGAGGATTTTATTGCGTAGCAGAATGCCTGGCTTTTCAAGTAACTGAACGAGCTTTTACAACAGAACGCATTTTTTTTTAACTCTGGCTGTCCCATAATTATGTGATATGATTGTGACAGGGATATCTGAACTTCAAGATCCAAATTAGCAGCCCATAGAGCGCTGACTCAACATTTTTGAGTTAGTCATTGTTTCGGAACTCATGAGTTCTGTAGATTTGTCATAGGATTGATGGCTTCTTTTTTCCAGTGATTAAACCGGTAAGATTAATAGAAATCGTATGAAAATCTATCATGCACTGACATGAGAAGTTCTTCGAACGTATTGTGACGCATTCTTCGAGGAGAAGTGATTCCAATGTTGAATTGTGACGCAGTACATGATATGATTGGAGATGCAATGGTCATGGAATGATTCTTAATTCCACCATATAATAACGCTCTAAAGATGCGTTAAACAGTTTCGATCTTCCAGCCCACTTACATTCAATCCTCAGATACAACCGCACATCAACCACCAAATAACAAAACTGAAAACTTCAAAAACCTCCTGTCAGAACAAATTACGCGTCTCAAAGACAACCCCTATTGTTCATCTACACTGATCTATATCAATTTGATACCTCCGAATTTGTTATCCAAATCTTACTTATTTGGCCTTCACCCGCCATCAAATCACAGATCTAGATTTGTCAGTGTCATAGCTCAACAGGTCAACGTTGTGAGATCTTTACACAAGAATCAGTGGCATCCTCATTATGTCTGATTCTGGCAGACACATCCTTGCGAGTAAGTTCTTAAGATATTGTGTTGTAATACGCAGCAAAATGAATTGCGCTGAAATATCACTAGAGGAGGTCGACCAACTGGTCAGGAATTTCGAGAATCTCCGCCCATACAAGTGGAATAGTTTAGCAAAGTTCCTACAGGCGAAAAGGGACCTTGATGGCATGATAGAGAAACTACATGTTCAGATTAAGGAAGATCGGAAGATTGCTAGACGGCTGAGGCTTAGACACCCCAGATTGCAAGTGGCCATGACCCGAGCAATGGCGAATAATGATCTTAGATCACGTCATGATATGGATGGAGAATTTATGGAAATTCCAATTCGGCGTAATGAAATTGTTGCTGAGTTAAGAAGTATGGTGGAAGACGAAAAAAAAATATTCAATTTGGTGATTGAACTATGATATTAGATGGGCTAGGAGTCTGGGTGGAAGACATCACGGGTGGACAACAAGCCTGACTTTCTAATTTAGTTGAGCTTGTGGAATATAATGCGTTGTACTTACACACCTCCTATCATATATGAATGTGCATGCTGTCACCTGTGTTTGTGCTTACAGACTTTTCAGACGAGAAGAATTAACTTTCTGAATACACATACCTCCAAGCAACGAATGCCCTCCCCTCAAACTGTTTTATTAGTCGTCCTCCATTATTTGATGCTCCGTTTTGATATATCGGTAAGTGATGCTTTGGTCCTCAGATCTATTTCCATGGAGTTGTAAATTGGATAATAATTGGCCCCAAAAATGACTCGGTCAAAAATATGTAGTGCCTGCTTGTCGATAGCCTTGGGGTAGTCGTTCCTCGATGGCCATCATAGCGACAAGGCTACGAAGGATGAATCCTACATGTGGGACCACAATATTGATAATTTGAGAAATGTTATCGAAGTGTTGAGGCTATTAGACCTGTCGTGGGATGAGAAAATTAGGAACTTCTCAATGTGACATCGCATTCTATGCCCGGGGCTCTGGTATTCGACTTCGTAGTGAATAACTAGTATGGCACGATTATATTTCTCGGAGCTCTCGATGCTTTACTGAGTCACTAGTCAGATCCGAGCCTTTTTCGATGGAAATGTCGCAGGTAGTAGACCTTCACTTCCTGGAAAATCAATAAGGCCCAAATCTGCAACCAAGAACAAGAGCGGAAACCAGATTATTACGAGCAAAATGCGGCTATGTTAAGTGTAGAACTACTTCACGATAACAACATCTATTGTCAGTCTATTTGCAGTCGAGAATCTCACGCACGAGATTCATAGCTATATGCTCGTTTTTGTTGCCATATGGTAGATAATTAAGCGCGGGCGGGCGGGCAAGATACCTCAAATTCGAGCCTCTCATGGGTTTCGGCTATATTGGTTAGAAAATAGCCGATTCGGTCTGCTTTGTAACACCGTGTACTGTTGAGCGCTGGATAAAATGGCTTTCAACAGCTTGTATTGCAAATGGTGTAATTCGCTGATATCTCAGTCAATAAAGTCTTTTTATTTCAGTCATTTGCCCTGATTACGATTCATCGCACCCCTCGTCCTCATTATTATAACTTCAGATGTTGTTTGCTGTCCTACATTGACGATAATTTCAATTTTATGGGGTTACGAAAAGCATTACACGTACTGTTCGTGACCCTCAAATTAACCTCCAACATTTCCATCTACAGCTTACCGTTCAGCATTTTTTTCATTTTGCTTATTTACATGTTTGCTGTGGGGCATGCTAAAACCAATATTCAAATGACAAAATCTTCTTACCAGCATTCTAAAATGGCCCGCCACAACTATATAATTGGAAGGATTTCCTCTTTGCAGATAGATGTATCAAAGGCAGTTTAATCCACCAGATCTTGGCCATGATATTTTACAAATTAGCCCTTCAACGTGACACCAGCAAATATTATCATTTTCGAGATGAAGATGAAAAACATGGTCAATCAGTGATATTACTTGGGAAATTTACCGAGGATGGTCACAAAAAAGCCGTGGAGGTTGCGAGACTTGTCTTTGGTGTGACCCACGAGAATGCTGTTCGAGTCAATCTTCTCAATGAACGGTGTCGAGATTCTGTGCAGTGGGACCGTACTCTTCTGTGTGAGTTCACCGAGCGATGGTTTACTGTCATGTGCGGCTCTGTAAACAAACCTCTCAACAAATCGGATCTTGGAATCCTTGGTAAGCGGTTTTCGAACACAATGATTTCTATTAATGGCAAGGAAGATTGGATGGCGCATGAAGTAAGTATTTACTCATAATTTTTCAAATAACAAATACTGACGAGAGATCTTGGGTAGCAATTAAAAGCTGAAAAGTTCTGGGTATGGTTGGCTGCAAGAACTTACAAACTCAATCTCCGCAAGGAAATATCTAACGTACAAGACGCTCGATTCGAAAGCTATCACTATCTTCTGGAACAATGGCTCGACGGTGAAATACGTCGCCTTTATCAGGATGATACAAATTTTGATCATACTCGTGATCTCAAGATACATCATGAATTGAAATCCTTTGACATACAGAAAAAAGAATGGGAGCTCAGTAAAAGCAAATCTAAACTCTCGCGCCTAGTCAAAGAACTGCTTCGCGATGGACACTCAAACCTTGAGACAACGCGGGGGGAACTACTTGTTCAAGCGAGAGGTGCGATGAGCAAAGCGGTGTGTTTGGCTAATGCCGGTGACGGCTACAGTGATTCCCTTGAATTTGCTGATAAAATGCTAAAATTAAATGGAACTTCACGTGAAGCATGGTTGGGGAAACTTCTGTTTGAATTGTCTGCTTTAGCGCTTCTTGACACATCCCGCCACTACTTGCAACCTACAGCGTCCGAGTTGAAAAAGGGCGAACGACAGGCCCCAGAAGCTCTTGATAAACTAGATAAAGAGCGCAAAGAATTTCTAGCAACAATTTCACATAAACCTTCCAAATCGCCGAGTAATTGGCGGTATGACCTATACGAACGTATAGACGACGATCTTAAAAACAAAACCGGTAAAGACAGGGAACATCGAGCGTTAAAAAATCAATGGGAAAATGCGAAATCTGATTATAAAACCCTTGAAAGATGTTTGAAATTTTGTTATAATCTATTGCCACCTTCACATACAGGTCGTGAGAGGTCACCTGAAATCTCTCAAACGCATTCTCCTCGAGGACGAAGCAATGAAAAACGAGATTCAGAATCAGACACAGCGTCTCCTTCGAGGAAGCCAGTATCTACCCCCAAACGACGTCCCCAAGATGTGACTGATAGTTCTTCATCGAAACCCACACCTCCTGCGAGACATCACTCTCGATATTCTCGAGACGACGATTTCAGTGACTCCTCAGTTTCTGAGGCGTCTATGCCTATACAGAAAAAACGTGGGATAAAAAAGGTGATGAATTTGGTTCAGAAGCCAGGGTCTAGAGGAAGATCGAAAGACAGAACACCGCTTTTGAAATAACCTTTTGTCTATCTTGTAGAGGTCAATATCATATTATTTGGCTAGGAATCTGTGAAAAGAGCTCGCTAGTAGCTCTCGCTTTATTTGATGATATTTAATGCTAGGAATAAGTTCTAAGTTAAGTTAAGTTTTTGAGTGATGTGAGATATGCAATCGTTGAGTAATTAACTAAACTCCAACGATCAAATCTCCAATCCATAGATGTGCAAACTCTCTCTTCATCTCCAGTGCTAGTTCATAATTCAGCGAAAGACATAACTTATAGGCGATGCGTCTCATCAGGATCAACTACTCCAATTTCTCCCTACTCATTTCATCTCTCTATCGCCTGAGAACCCTAAGATCCTCGCAAAACACCATCTATATAGCTTTCCGAAAAACCATCTAAAATAAATTACCACACTCAGGAACACCAAAAAGGACCATAAGAATATTAGAAAAACGATACCAACTACACTACAACATGACACTGAAACTCGTGGCAAAAGAACAAAAGAACATTTATTCTTAAAGTACATTCTCTTGAATCCCCAAATCATGCTATGAGAGACTCTCTGGCCCCGAGAGAACCTCGCTAGTAAGATCAAGGAGAAGCTAGTGTTTGTTATTTGTCGACTTCTCACCCACAGACTCAAGCCAACACACATTAAGAACTACTTGGCCTGCTGCTGCGAGGTTGAAAAGGTGGCTAGATCGTCAATGCAAGCCAATTTTGTGGTCTTCAAACACACAAGGAATTATAATAGAAAGAAAATACTATCCAAAATATGAGAGTCGCTGGCGGAATTGTGGGTGGATGCAAAGATGAATATGCCACACAGGTGCCACATTGCATACACTGGTAAGAACACTTATGTTACTCAATGCTTCCATACTTTGGAGGGAATAGTAAATTTGTAGTCGCAGTCAAATTGATCTTGCGAGAATGCTTATTGAACACGATAGTTGCCATAATTCTAAAGGTTCCACTTCCCCGTTTCTGTATTGAAAGCTGAACTCTCAACATAAAATCTCTGTAAAACAAAATGGTATTACCGCATATGTATGTGCCGACTCCTCAATGTTGTCCATACAAATGAGCACCTAAGACTATATAGCCGCGCGATGCAAAAGTCCTCAAACCTATATATAATCACGCCGTCCGATTATATGCCACATAATGAACCCGGTATACCTGAACAACCGTAGAACGCCAATGCACGAACTCCGCCATATGATGCAATTTAACGCCATGACCGGGAAAAAGTGACCCTTCACTCAAGATTGACCCTCCAGTCTACTTTTATGAACTTGCTCATTAAACCATTCCCTTCCGGCCTCTTTTCTCTCCATAGCTTCTTCTTCATACAAATCCATATCATCATCTCCCAAATCGCTCGTTTCATCCCACAATTTATCGAATTCCGAATTGGGTCCCAAGGCCGGTACAGCCCAGATATGTTCTCTCAATCTTTTATGTCTCTCGCGATCCTCTTCAATTCTCTGTTCAATCTGTCTCTTATCCAATCTCCCTACTCCATTTGGTTTAGCTTGTTTGGGAGTAGCATGTTGTGAAGTTCCATTTCCATTGGCTTCGTTTGCGGGCGGAGAAGACATGAGTGCGTCGGGTTGGGTATCGCGTTCCTTGAGACATTCTTCAATTTCCGTAACAGTTTGAGGTAAGAGGAAGGATTTTTGTTGAAGGCCTTGGAGAACCTTGCGCACTACTTTAACATTGGCTGCTCCGGATCCATCTTCTGGCGCAACTGCATCAACTACCCGTAGAATATCTCTTTGCATCATGCGTACATAATCATCGTGTCCTTCTCTCGATGCCATGTCGCATAAAATTTCGATGAAAAACATGATGTTTGCCCTATTGTTCATAGAATTCTGAATTTCAGGTCAGCTACATTCTTTTTGACAACCCAAGTCGCTGTCATAAAATTTCAGAAACGCGCTTCCTTCTTCTTGAATCCCACAGATCCAATTTCTAGACACAAGAAAATTATAGACGTACTTTCTCCAGTTGCTCCAGAATGCAACTATGCAAATCTTCATCCATATCCCTATATTTCAACGCATACTGTGCCGTCTTATTCGCACTCGTAACACTCGCATTCAGATGTTGTAAATATTGCGTAAAGCGAATGCGCACTTCGAAGGGATCCATCTCTTCTTGCGCTGGCTTGACCTTCGCTTTGAGCGGCTTGCTTGGTATGGGATCTGGTAAACTCGCGTGAAAAGTCGGCTCTTCAATGGAATTTAGCAGTTCACTGTTGCGCAGTGGAGCTGGTCTGGTTGTATCCATGATGTAGTTTTGAAGCACTACGCTTTGTTGGGTGAAATTTGGGCGGTGGAGTGTTGGCAGTATTTTGGTGTGGTGGGGAAGGGAGCTTTGCTTGACTTCAAAGTTAGAACCTCAATATTCCGAACAAGGAATATATATCAAGAAAATACTTCAAGAATGTATGGGAGTTAATGACTTTGATATTAACTCCTATCGAAGAAGGAGATAATCAATTATGAGTTCTTTAATTGAAAATATGGAATCAGAAATGACCTTGACAGTTCTTGGTTGTGGTATGTTTGTGTGTTTGTTTTTTCCGAACCTCTTTCATTGACTCGAAGAGATGGAGTCGAGAGGAAATTACATTGCCAATTTAAATTTATTGTTTTTGAAACAGTGAAGTTCTTCTCTAGTACAGTAGGAGCCATCGGTCGTCCGTACCTGGTTTTGTAGGCTCTGAGACGAGATATGGATATGTACTTCTCCCAACATGCGCAGAGAAATTATATTCATGTTACACTTTGCTATGTTTCTGTATCTATAAGTTTATTCACTTGGACGATATAGTATCCTGGAAACCAAACTCCATTTTTATACACATCTGTTTGATATACCAATCGTTTGTGGATGAATGTCTACTGTTTTGCTAGCTTTCCGGGGGAGTCATGCCAGAACGTGGATCAAAAGCAAAACCCAACACTGATACTTGAATGTAGGAGCGATGGGTATAGCAATCCTCTCTGGAATACTCAGCTCCCTCAATACGCCTCAAACCCGAATTCTCATCCCTCCAAACACATCAGGAACATCAACTCCCGCCTACCCAACCGAATCTGTAAACCCTACACAGTAAACGAGATCCCATCCGAGCTTAACACAGCGCAAGCCCTAGCCGCTAGTATCTTTGCCGGCGTGACCGTCAAACAACTCTAGACTCAGCTCTTCGTCAAACAAACAAAAGGTCTCACCGACCTCGCTTCCGCCTCTAACCCCTGCACTATCGTCCGCGCAATACTCAACCTCTTCTCTCAGATCCAAGAATCAATAACAGTAATAAATACTTCTACCCCCCCACCCCCCCTCCATGAAAGCATAACTACACTTCTAACCCAGATCTCCACACGCATCGAAGAAGTTATTTTTCTTCCTCTTCAACCCCTGCACCATCGTCCTTGTACTACTCTCTGAGGTCCCGGTCCCGGTCCCGCATTTTCCGCATTAATTCTCGCCCCCATAGACGATACTGTAGCCACGGGATTCCCACGAGCGAAAGCGCAAAAAATAGCTGCGCAGACTATGTATGATGCAGCTGGTTTGGTTCTATCAGGCGAGCATCGCGCTTTTGAGGGATAAAGTGGGTACGTCAGGTGGATATAGGATCGGAGGATTGCTGGTGCTTGAGGAGGGGAGAGCCAGGGGGATGGTAGCGAGAGTGGTGAGGAAGGCGATAGTTGTAGCGGTGCAGCTTGGAAAGGGAGTTGTGGGGGTTAGGTAATGGGATGAGGTTTTAGGTTTTAACGAGATTGCACGGTTGGGTTTGGTGTTCCGCGATGGGTAATGGGCGGGTGGTGGCTTGGAAAAATGGTTGGACAAAATGAAATGGAAAATTTCAGGAGAATGGGGATACCGAAAGAATTAGCGCAAATAGCATTTGAAATATTATCATTCGAATTTTGTTGTGTACTGATATCTGAAGTTGAACTATCTGACTCTAATGTTCATTCTTTCTCTCCAGATTTATTCTTTCCCATCCGAAAACCAAAGATTTCAAGCATTCCCTGATATCATCCCTAAAGTCAATCACACCCGAACTCCATGATATAGTGAGTACCAATGTACGGCACCACTTTTAATACACGTGCCTCTTCCATCCTATACCAACCATATTACCACCTATGCTATTCAAGAAGCAAACTTCAACCTCTTAGCCAAAGGCTCCTCACTTTCATCTTCTTCATCATCTTCATCATCCTCATCATCCTCATCATCCTCATCATCAGCAACCCTCTTTCCATTTCCATTAGCCACACTCTTTCCTTTCCCCTTTCCAATAACAGTCGATTTATCCATCTCAATTCTCTCCCGAACCATCTCAATCAACCTTCCATAATCAGCCTCTACGCCCATTAAAGCTTCGTTCAATTTATCGATTCTTTCTCCACGATCAAATTGCGCCAATGCATCTTTGTTGTGACGATAGAGACGTTGTTTCACGACGAGTTGCCAGAGATAATACATGTGTTCATCTTCTTTTCTGGGAGGCGGGAGAGACTTTTGAGGTTTTCCCGTGTCGCGCAAAAGGGCTGCTTTGGCGGACGGGGGAATTATAGATAGAAGGTACATTTCATGGAGACGAGCGAATTGTCGAGGGGCGATTTTTGATTGAACTCGTAGCTTCTCGTATGCATCGGTGTCGAAGAGTTTGGCTGGTGCTGGACCTTTAGGGTTAATTTTCACCTTTGAGTCTAGTTTTAATTTGAGGAAACGTTCGTCTTTGAGTAAACGACCTAGATCGTTGATGTCTCTCAAATCATCAAATGCTTCATTCGGATCTTCCACTGTGATTTCCCTTGTATATGGGTCACTAGATAAGTAGTCAAATACGGCGTTGTAAAATAGTGATCCTTTGCCCCCGCTTTGGAAAGGGGGTAGAATGAGAAATTGCGATATTCTTGAACGACATGGAAGAGTGTTAAACGATACACCATCAACAGGGATTGTGAACTCGGGAGCTATTTTGTCGCCATTGGGGGATTGTGGAGGAGTAGCTGGCGTATATACGAAATAGCGATAAACAGTACAAAAGCCCATGAATATGTAGGATGATGATTTCTCAAAAAATGAGGCTGCGGCTGGCTTCTTGTGGTACAAGAAGAATACTGTCCAACGTCCAAGATCATCTTCCGATTCATCAAGATCAAGTAATGTTCCTCCTTCGATAAACAATGGGACTAGAGTTTGCACCCGCTTGATGGTTTGTTGAATGACCGGATCCGAGAGATTGCCTTTCCATATTTCAAAAATTTCTCCACCGACCTCAATTGTGCGAAAGAGTTCTCCTGGTGGATGCCAATCTGCTGGGGTAGCTGAAATATGCGATTCAAAAACACTTGATTTTTCAAAAGCAGCTGTGTTGATGTTAGTAACAGTTCCTGGAAAGTCTTCGTGAAGTGAACATACTCTTTGGCAAGAATGGTTCCAGCACTGCCTTCAGATCTGTTGGTTCTATATCACCGACTGCTTTAAATTTCTTGTTGTAGGTAATTTGTAGGCCAGGTCGCATATCACAGGCGTTATATTTCAAGTTGATTCTCAATCCCTGATATCCAAATATTGATTCCTCTTCCCCGAATATGGGATATGTAAATTTTGGATTGAAGGTGTGAAGTGAGGTTATGCCTTCGGCGCTTGGGGTGACAAGAGAGATATATATGGCCTCATTTGAATCGGACGACCCTGAATTTTATTATGTTAGCTTTTATGAAGTATGAAATTGATCTTCGTGAGCTTTTGCTCGTCGGCGCATACAGTTCAACACAGAGCATGGGGGGGAGCAATAGATAGAATATTCTGTGATGAACACGGCCGATCGACTAGAACAATAATAAAGACTTTGGGTTAAAGTAATTGATAATACCTACAATCGGAATCGATTTCAGCCATCTTCGCGACAATGATTTTGCTGATACTGTTAATGCGAAAGGTAGATAGGCTTGTTGAGTAATTGTTGTTGTCAATTGAGACCAATTGTAAATATTTCTGTACAGGTTCAAAGCTTCACCAGAGCTTAACAAATCGCGTAAGGAGTAGAGTGATTTTCCGCCGAGACGCGTTTTCTCCCCAGAAGGTTACAGGGATTTCTAATAAATTACTTAACAATGTGGCACTCTTTATTATTACCTAGTTTAGTTCAATCTGGTAGTTCAGCCTCGTTCGTGCGTTGAGTAAGACCCCAAATCTGTCATCCCGGAGTGACGAATTAATTTCTTTATAAAGGGAGTGGGAGTGCGCAAGCATAGGAAAATTATCTTTCACCTGCCTTTCTGAGGATTTAATCAATTGTCTTCTCTCCATTCTACCTATTGTGATTCTGATTTCGAAATGAAGCGGTGATATTCCTTTTGATCTGGTATTTATAGGATTGCGACGTAGATTTTAAAGGTGCAGCAAATAGAGGGTATTCACGATGTTCGACGGCTTATTTATGCTGCTCATTTTGAGCGTGATAATGTGTTTGAGGTAATTCCCCTACTCAAAGCTTGCAATTCATATGCTGATGAGGTATTTAGTTGCTTTCTTGCTGGAGCAATTCCACTATCTATGACCTTATCGCCGTCCCAACTTCGATTAATATCTACGATTGGTATGGGAGTGCTTGTCGGGACTTCGCTGGTTGTTATCATACCCGAAGGGATTGAAGCAGTGTATACTGCAGGATCTTCGGCACATACTCATGGAGCAAGGAGCATGAGGGTTCAAGAGAGAAGCTCCGAGCTATCGTGGGTTGGTGGAGTCAACACAATCGCATACTCGAACAAAGCAATTGTCAATCGAAGACATGCCCAGCTAAATTCAAAGACTTCGCAGCCCGTAGAAGTTGAGATCATCACCAGGGAAACTCTGGCAGAGGAAAAGGAAAATAGTGCACCAGAAAAGTCGGATGAAAAACCAACGGGTGAAAGCGATGTGCATCACGACGAGGACGAATCACCTACATTCTGGATTGGTTTATCTCTGGTTTTGGGATTCATTCTTATGTTCTTAATTGACAAAGTTCCAAGACATGCTTCCGAGAAATTACAAGCCCCGGTAGCTCCAAGGCAAATTTCTCTTAACAATCTATCTCAAGGAATATCAAACATCTCTTCGTCTGATGAAGAATCAGACGGCTTTTTTCAATCACTCACGCCGAGCCCGAAGCAAAGTCGTAGTCTGGCTACAACGACAGGGCTTGTGATACATGCGTCGGCAGATGGAATAGCTATGGGTGCATCCGCCTCTACATCCAACACGAAACTAGGGTTTATCATTTTCATTGCAATCATGGTCCATAAAGCGCCTGCCGCCTTTGGACTTACATCCGTCTTACTGAAGCAAGGACTTTCGAAACGAGCAGCACGTGGTCATCTCATAGTTTTCAGTCTCGCAGCTCCATTCGGTGCCATCACGACGTTTCTATTAGTAAATATTCTTGGTGGTGGGAATATCGAGGGAGCCAAAGGACAATGGTGGACGGGAATGTTACTATTGTTTTCTGGTGGAACTTTCCTGTAAGTAATGCTTAATTCTTTTTTAACAAACCAAAGGCAGACAGGACTAATAACAAGTGAATAGATACGTCGCAATGCATGCTATGCAAGAAGATTCGGGGGTGCATTCCCATGAACACACAAATTCCAATGGGTATCTTGACGGTATTTCACAACGTAAACAAGCGAAACCGCAAATGAGAGATACGCTCGCGGCTGTCGGGGGAATGTTGATCCCTCTATTAACACAGTTTGGCCATGACCATTGAGTGGAAGGTTAGATGAAGAAGGGCTTTGTATATATAAAAGAGAGGAGAAAGGGCATGGAATGGAATGGAATGGAAACTTATGCTCGTCCAGTACGAGAATGCAAAAGATAAAACGCATAGATGGATGTTCATGTAAGATATAGATTGGGCACAGGAGGGAGGAATATGATACCAATTATATTATTTTCCTACCCATTGGAAATTTTAGGATATTTATTTCCGTTATTTTCTCCCAATTAGGTTTGCAATTAGAAATTGAAGAGGGGGGCTCGGGGGGGAGGTGAACGCATAATTCGCTTACATCAAAGCTCCACTTCGAGACAAAACCTTGGATCTCGAAACACTGGACCCTTTGACTCCATACTATTTTTAGAGAACAGACAATTCAGATGTATTTTACCATGTTAATGCGGATTGGTTTCGCTTCATTGTTCTGGACGAAAAGTCCTGCGCTCTCCGATATTGAAACCTTAGAAAAGCTAAGAAAAGTACGAAATGTACGAAATGTAAGGGGTAAAAAGGTTGGAGGATTTGAAACGAGAAAAATAGATGCACAGCCTTCTGTTTCCAGTATTTTAGCTTAAGCCTTGAGTTTAACCTTTGACTATTGAAAAGTTCGTGATCGTGCTCCCGATATTGGCGAGCATAGCGATGATGTAGGTATTTGGGAAAATGTTTATTAGTTTATTAGGAGGCCTTATCGCGATAACAAAAAGGGAGGCGATTAGGTGGTGTGAGATTAGATTATGTAGTGGCACGGCACGAGTTGGAAGTGAGTTTTTCGCCCCCCCTTTTCTGAAGATGATGGAGTGGATTCTCGATTCCAACGATTCGTGATATCATGTGGTAGGTTTGGTTCAAAGAGTATGATTCGTGATGATTATTGTGTGTGGTGAAAGACAAAATGGGTCATGTGCTATGTATGCACTGATGTGTTGCTTATTTGAGGATTCTAGATGTTGTGGGTGCTACTGTTGATAAAGCTAGATGGGATGGATGAGATGAATGAGTGTTCACGGCGTAGACATTGTAGTTCGCATCTTATTATTACTCTCGTAAGAGTATCTATGTGACGGAGGGATAGCAGATAAGATACTTGGGTATTGATGGCCACACTCTCTAGACGCTTAACTTAGAATTGCTATTAGGCGTTTAGAAAAATTAGATGTAGAATATTGATTTATAATGGGATATTTGTAGCTACCTAGTATGACAGTTCCACCGCCACCACCACCAACTCAAGCAAGTCAATCAAATCGGTACCAGAACTTAAGCCCCCCTGATATCATAGAGTTCTTTCACGGAGGCTCTCATGGAACTATTATTACTCTGGTGTTCAAATAGAGATTGAAAGATCTCAGTTCTAGTTGACAGTCTTTCACAATTCTACACTATCGATAAGTCATGACGACGAAGACCTGAAATCATTTATCAACTTGGGAGCGAGTGATGTTGATACTTCAATAGATAATCTATTCGACCTAGGTAGTGCAGACAGTACAGATAGATCTACCCCTCGATTTATAAAGGAGTAACAAGAAACGTGGAGGTTCATTCATCCAGTGCTGTGCGAGGGAGGTAATTCTCCCATGTGTGATTGTCTGTTTGCAGTGACCTGCCATACCTTGATTTGGATATCTTCAAGTCGAGAACATGATCCCAAAGACATCTCCATCCAAGTCAACGACCAAACTCTGAATGGCCATACCGGTATCATACTTTGAATGTGATAACATCCATTATACATGATCATCCATTTTTTCCACTTTTAAGTTCTTCAACATCCTTACTTCATTAACGAATTATCCCTGCCTCCTAGGCATGACCGCAATAATGACTGAGACCACCCAAAAGTTCATTAACTCCAATTAGCAAAATCCACCTACGACCCACGACCCACGACCCACGACGTTCCACTTCCACTGGCTTACCACACAGAAGACTCTCTCTCATCTCAAGATCAACCTCAGCCCAGCCAGTACAGAGTACATTAAAAGTGCGAAAGCATTTATATTACTCCCTTTTTTGAATACTATCTTATCGTCAAACAATTCAACAAGTATAGACCATATCATTACGATTGATTCTTGCCATTTATATTCGTGATCGGTATAGATATTAAAACATACTTGATTCAAATTGTGCCATTAATCATCGAGTTTCAACCCTAACGACAACGCATTCGAATGTGTTCCCTTGGACACTACGTTGCACGACCTTCTCTCAACACCGCCTTCAACACACGTTAAAAGACGATTCCTTGGTTTAAATTTGATATATTCGACTTTTGATCAATTGGCGCAATTGTTTTTCATTTCCATGGTCGAGATTTCATCCGTTGATTGTCAATCCAAATTCTTCCCTTGGTCCCAAGCCTCAATCTAGTCGGGAAAGACCTTCACGACCTCCGCATCTACGATCGTAACCTTCTCTCAACCGTTCAACCTAGACGGAACAACTGGTTGAAGAAAGAGGGTAAGAGAAAGCGGCTATGGATAATTTCAGACCTTTGAGCTTAACAGACAGAAGGGCTTCCATTGCACCCATTGAAAGAGACGGCGAAATGTCTCCCACCCGAGCGTTAACGGTCGACACAAATGGCGATCGCATTCCAATGCCGCAAAGGTTAGAAAAGATCCTAAGTAGACCGAGAGGTCCTCCGACGCCAAATATGACGACTTCTTCCGCCGATATACAGTCTCCCACACACTCGAGTCATGACCCTCCTCCTCCCCCTACACCGGCAGCCAGTCCAGGTCCTGATCACCCACAACCAGATTGGAGTGAGGCGGGAGAAAAGGAGGATATATTTTTATCACAAATCAGAATATACTTCGCGCAAAGTTCAGCACCCGAAAGAACGAGAATATTGGGAGATCTTTTGAATTTGTGCACAAGCCAACAACTAAGCTTTGTACATCAATATGTTAGCCCGTTACTGAAGAAAGATCCATTTACCACTTTACCAGATGAACTATGCCTTCGTGTATGTTTCCATTTTCAAGAGGTGAAGCCCAAGCTAATTGATTTATATAGATTCTGTCTTGTATCGACGACCCGAAAGTACTTGCGCGCTCGTCCCAGGTTTCGAAACGTTGGAGAGATCTCCTTGCAGACGATGTCACTTGGATGAAATTATGTGCGAAGCACGATTATGGTCGAAGAATGTCAGAACATCATCCCGTCACACCTCTAATACCGTCACTTCGACCTCCTCCACACCCCGTTCATAAGGCATTACAAGCAGGAGAGCCTTCAGCCCTTGCACATTCTTTTCCCGGAATCAGTGCAGGATTGTCACAAGTCCCTGGAAGTTCCAGGAGCTTTGATAGTGCTACTGCCTCTGGCGCATTGAGAAGACCAAAGATTAGGTCGTATAAATCACACTTTAAACAAAGATATTTGGTCGAAACCGCCTGGAGGACTGGAGGACAAAATATCGCAAGGCATATTACACAAGATCAGGGTGTTGTTACAAGTCTACATCTGACACCAAAGTACATTGTGGTAGCATTGGACAACGCTAAGATTCATGTTTTCAATACGGATGGAAATGCACAAAAGACCTTGACTGGGCATGTAATGGGTGTTTGGGCAATGGTACCATGGGAGGATACACTTGTTAGTGGAGGTTGCGATCGTGATGTACGAGTGTGGGACATGGCTGCTGGGTATGTGTTGCCAATCACATTTTCGAGACCAGGTACTAACGAATAACAGTGAGAGTTTACATACTCTGCGTGGACATACTTCCACAGTCCGGTGCCTGAAGATGTCTGATGCAAACACCGCAATTTCAGGCTCTCGAGATACCACTCTAAGAATCTGGGATATCAAGACTGGAGTTTGCAAAAACGTCCTTGTGGGTCACCAGGCAAGTGTTAGATGCCTAGAAATTAAAGGAGATATTGTTGTTTCTGGAAGTTATGATACTACAGCTAGAGTGTGGAGCATCTCGGAGGGAAGATGTTTACGAACACTCTCGGGACATTTCTCTCAAATCTATGCTATTGCTTTCGATGGAAAGAGAATAGCTACTGGAAGTCTTGACACCAGTGTTCGGATATGGGATCCAGAAAATGGGTATGTGTTTTCGATTGAGATGTGAAAAATCACACTAACAAATAATTAGATCCTGTCAAGCTATTCTTCAAGGACACACCTCGCTAGTTGGGCAATTGCAAATGCGAGGAAACACTTTGGTCACTGGTGGTTCTGATGGGTCTGTTCGCGTTTGGTCTCTTGAAAAGATGGCCCCAATTCATCGATTAGCTGCTCATGACAATAGTGTCACAAGTTTACAATTTGATGATACACGAGTGGTTAGTGGAGGTAGTGATGGTCGAGTCAAAGTTTGGGATCTTAAGACTGGTCAACTCGTTCGTGAACTCACTGCTCCTGCTGAGGCTGTTTGGAGAGTGGCGTTTGAAGAAGAAAAGTGTGTGGTTATGGCAAGCAGATCAAATCGCACTATAATGGAAGTAAGTACCATAGTCCTCCCCTTTCCCTGAATTATATTAACATAATTTAAGGTGTGGTCATTTTCTCCGCCAGAAGATGTTCTGTACGAGAATCCCTATGGCCAACAAACTCCTCCCATTACTGGGCCCACTAGGCCACTGAGTGCTATCGAATATCGGAGTGGTAGTCAAGACCAAGCTATGCAAGGGATCATGACACATGAAGCATCTTATCAGAGGGATGATATTGAAATGGTCGATGCTGGACCATCGACAGCTCCTCCGCAAGCTACCGGGCCTACTTTCTTTCACGAAGATGACTGATCCAGGCCATATAACTAATCTATATAATAAGCACTCACTAATTCTGATTGCTTCTTTTACGTACTGGGTCATGGAATCTATAGTCACTACCACCACTTCTCCATTGAGAGATGATTACGATACTGTGAGAGAATACGGTCTCACATATCTCACCATCATCCTTCCGCAATCCTCATACATCACCTACCTATTTTATGTCCATATTGATTGACCTTTGATTGATCGAAGCACAGAAGACTTGTTTATAAAGAAGCAAAGAAGCATCTGGGGCAGGGCGTTTTTCATTTGACTGGTTGGCAGAATAGTACAGATGATTTTTAATAGCTCAAATACCAATAGGGCAAAGGAAAGGGGGACAGTTCAAAGGGAAGAATTTAACGGCGTAGCATCGAGAGAATTTGCATTAGGGATTCCCCAAGGTCAGGGAGTTACTTGCTTAAGCTTGTCCTTTGAGTTGGTAGGGTAGCATAGTGAAATGCGAAAGAATCAAATCTACGATATGGCTTTTCTTCTTGAGTGATCGATGAAATGAAGACTGAACATGGAAACCCGAGTTAGACAAGAGGGTCCGCAAGTAAGGCCGACGAGGCCGAATGGTAAATTGTCGGGCTCTAACGTTTCCGTTACACGTGATTTTTGGTCGGAAGCTTGAGGAACAATCTGTCCGAACTAAACCAAAATGGGACTACTCTAATCGAAGCATCCCAACCGTCAACATCTTTTGTTTGGCAGCTGCTGAGAAATTTCCACGAGTTATCTTCCGCCTCCCTCACTCCCTACAACCCATTCTCTACCACCACAACCATGTTCTCGAGAGCATTGAAGGCACGATCTGCCGCACCTCTGCGCAGGAATGCCATTTCCAGAACTGCTCTCGTGAAGAGAACGGTTACCACAGACGCCGCCTCCGCGCACGCCGATAAAGATGCTGTTCCCCAGGTAAGATTTCCTGTTGAGATATCCCAATTGATTATTGCATACATGGAATGTGTACATTAATGATTCTCTGGGACGATAGGAAGATGATAAGCCATTCACATTACAATTATCGGACGAGTCTTTCGAGACCTACGAGCTCGATCCTCCATCCTACACCATGGAGACCACCAAGAAAGAGCTGAAGCAGATGTATATCGATATGGTTTCTATGCGGTAAGAATATGATTTGGTATCACGACCGAAGATTCCGCTGATGGGAAAATTTAGTCGTATGGAAATGGCAGCCGATAGACTCTACAAGGAGAAGAAAATTCGTGGTTTCTGCCATTTGTCAACTGGTCAAGAAGCCGTCGCCGTCGGTATCGAACACTCTCTTACCAAGGAAGACGACATTATTACTGCCTACAGATGCCACGGTTTTGCTCTTATGCGCGGTGCTTCCGTAAAATCTATCATCGGTGAATTGTTGGGTCGTCGTGAGGGTATCGCCTATGGAAAGGGTGGTTCCATGCACATGTTCACCAAGGGTTTCTATGGTGGAAACGGTATTGTCGGTGCCCAAGTTCCAGTTGGTGCTGGTTTGGCTTTTGCTCATCAATACAATGGCAACAAGAATGTCTCTGTTGCTTTGTACGGTGATGGTGCCAGTAACCAAGGACAAGTCTTCGAGGCTTTCAACATGGCTAAATTATGGAAATTGCCAGTTCTCTTCGGTTGTGAGAGTAAGTATCTAACCTGACTATGAGGCTGAGTGTATACTGATTGTTTCAGACAACAAATATGGTATGGGTACCGCAGCCAACAGATCTTCTGCTCTTACCGATTACTACAAGCGTGGTCAGTACATTCCAGGTCTTAAGGTCAACGGAATGGATGCTCTCGCTGTTAAGGCTGCTGTCAAGCACGCCAAGGAATACGCCAACGCTGGTAACGGTCCATTAGTCCTCGAATATGTCACATACCGTTATGGAGGACACTCCATGTCCGATCCAGGAACCACATACCGTACTCGTGAGGAAATTCAACGTATGCGTAGCACCCAAGATCCAATCGCTGGTCTGAAACAAAAGTTGATCGAATGGAACGTTACAACCGAGGATGAGTTGAAGTCCATTGACAAGGAGGCAAGAGCCAAGGTCGATGCGGAGGTCAAGGAGGCCGAAGAGATGCCTTTCCCAGATGCGACCCCACAAATTTTGTACGAGGATATCTACGTAAGGGGAAGCGAGCCTCAATACATGAGAGGAAGGACGAACGATGAGAACTACTATTATTAGGTTGTTGGGACTGGAGTTGTTAGATGGTTGGAAGGATTGGAAGAATGAAATGTATAGTATGAATGGCCGACAGAACGATCGATTGTTGGCAGGACGTGGAATGATTGAATGATAGATGGGTGGTCAATGCTTGCAATTCTTTTCGTTCGCCAACTCACATATGATACACCTACCTCCACTACCCTGTCTTCGTTTCGTTTCGTTTCGTTTACTGTAGTTGAGATGAATTGAGCGCATACCCTATCCTACTACTGACTGATACGTGTTGTGATCCTAAGGCATCTTATGTTATCAAGGCCATTTTAGGGTTACTACACCCTCCCTCCCACTCTAACCACTATTCATTGACCACACAGCTTCAACCCCCAAGTGGGAGGAGCTTTCTTTTGAATGGTCCTTCATTGACATAGTCGGATAATCTGTGGAAAGTTCATGCCTGGCCATACGATATCAGAACATTATGGGTGATCGACTATTCATGGAACCTGCCTTGTTTTGGAAATGAGAGGTGTCCTTTCGAAAATGAGTAACAATTAGCGACGTCAAATCCTGAATTTTGGCAGCTAGACACAAGTCTAGAGGTAGTCTAGAGGTAATGGTTCATTTGGTACAAGATGGCTGTCCAATCAGATCCTAAGCTCAGCTTATGTAAACGGTGTTTTTTTCGCTTGCTTCAAGCTAGTTGGAGAGGATGATCATTCTCTGGAATTTATAGTTTCTCGGCTACTAGGTAGTATCACTGGTCAAGTCTATAAAAATAATAATTTTGAGAGACTTCTCGTAGCAACTCTTATTTCTTAAAAGAAAAAAATCATTTATAATCCTCTTGTTGGTTGTTATTACACCTTAATTGATACAATCCTCATCACTTCTATTCATCCCTTCCTCGACAGGTTCCTTAATACCTTTTCAAAGTATTAATACCTTTTCAAAGTATTAATACCTTTTCAAAGTATTAAGATTCTCATCCTCGAAGCAGGTCTTATCGTCTGACTCTTTAATCCATTACCGTTCTGGAGATTTCGACATTATTCTAGTTCAAATACCGTTCGTTGTATTCACACTATAATGATAGAAACAACGATGGCGACCTCGAGCACGTTTACATTTTTTCCAGATCTACCCATCGAAATTCGTCTCTATATTTGTAAGTTGGCTTGTTTCCAGCAAAGAAATATCGATGTATCATTTGGTTCACTCCGAATGGGTGGGAACGTGGGAAGATGTCCGCCAACTGGAGGTAAACTGGTTACTTACACTAAACCTCCACCGATCCTACATGTCAACAGAGAGTTTAGGGTGGAAGCCCGCAAATATTATAGCCATGTAGACTTTTCACGCGAAGTATTTGACGGACCGTTCAAGGAATCTCAGCTTTATATCAATTGGGAGATAGATCGATTGTGTTTCGGCTCATTGATTGATTTCATGATTCATGAGGGAGGCTATTATAGCGAAGGAACAAGTATTAGTTCGTTCGAATTACGCAAAATATGTCTGAAAAATGGACTGAAATATTTGGGCTGGAATATAGCAGACTTTGAAAGCTTAGGCACAGAGGGTTGCAATCATTTGCGTGGAGAAAAATCTATGGAAGTGGCGCATGTACTTCCCTGGAATCATCAGATTGACGATTGTGTTATCTTTTATAATAAGGGGACGGAAAATTCCAATTCCAGAGGAGAAATCGTCGAATTTGGTTCGGCTCCATTAATTTTACGTGAAAATAAAACATGGCTTCATGGCATTCATTTTAATACAGCGAAGAATGACTTCCAGACCGGAAACGGTTTTCAAGGTGCCGGTGCACTCTTCCTTCATCAACTCGATTTTCTTGATCGGCGATGGTGGATGTATCATAGGTTTTTGGGTCAAGAAACGACAATGCAGGCTTTCGAGGAAGGGCGGGAGGCAAGAAAAGCTGTAAACCGAGTGCGTCTTGTTTATAACATTGAGAAAGTGGAGCCTGCGACAATTTGAGCGGTCGGTTATTGTCCAAATGTATGGATTGCCTGCCTGGTGCGGTCGGAGTCCTCATTCTGATCTTACTTGCTCGCATATGTTTTCTTTTGGACGTGGCTAGTGATTCGGCATGGCTTTCTCAGACACATTTTTACAATCGCATTGATTATATCTATGGCGTTGAATAGAGCTTCATTGTTGGCTTCTGGCTGCTATGGCTATTCGAAGAGAATGATCAAAGGAGTGTGACCAGTTCCGGTTCATAACACGTTTCTTTGTATGTAAGATTTGAGATTTGGGAAACAAAACAATCAATCACGACTACGATTTTAGTGGCCGGATCAAGTTAGAATGCAACAAAGGGGTCGCTATGGATAAAAGCAGCTATTTGATCCATGTCTGCACTGCAGGTTATCTTTGCTGTGATCAATCACCTTACCGAAAAGTTAGTATCGCACACGTAACATTCTCAAGTACAATGACAATTGCATACAGCATGGCCGACATAACTGGACGCCGCAGACGAGACTTCCCGTACTCGAGACCCGGCTCGATGACTTTGTCAGAAGGGCGGGCGCAGAGTCTAAGTGGCAAAACAGAGGTTGGACGTAGTTTCAGCAGTCGCGACTCGGCTGATCTTTCAGGAACAATTCATGATCCTGATGAACGACCTGCAATTCGTCCGCAAGTTGTTTTTGCTGGTAGTCTTCGTGGAGGGAGTGGTCCTGGATCACCGGGAACGGGAGATGGTGAGATTGATTTATCTGGCGTTGGGAGACCGGCTCAGGGTACAGGACAGTCGAGTTCCAAACCTGCGGAGACTGAGAAGGATCCGAATTTTAAGATTCCTGCTCCGGCAAAAGCGAAACCACCACCATTGGATATTTCGCAGTTCAAAAATCCAGATGGCACTTATGATATGGCTAGAATACAAGCTGTGGTATCGACTCGAGTTCAGGCTGGAGTTCGAGAAACGCGAGCGGAGCGTCGGGCACAAAGAGCTCGGGGCTCCACGGCTCCTGTACCGGCTATGAAACCCCTTGATACTACACAAGCAACGACACCTTTGGGTAGGGCAGAGGAAGTTGACCCTTTGCAAAGTCCTTTGAAAGATCCTTTGCAAGGTGATAAATGGGGCGGGCGAGGTAAACCACCACGAAGACCGAGAAGACCTCTCTTTCTCTCCCCTGATCTCTCCCCTATTGCTGAAAGAAGTTCAACGGGTAGTAAGAAGACGGAAAATATTGAAAGTCCAAAGAAAACTGGAGGTGGTGAAGACTTGGAGACAGGGGAGGTAGATTCGCAAAAGGGAAAACAACCTACTGGGGAAGAAGACAAAGCAGACAGACCAGCGGCTGAGGAACTGGTAGCAGATGATGAGGGCAGTCTATACGGTGCATCTCCTCCAAGATACCCTGTTCAAAAGCCTCTACCGCATGATTCGAATGTAAGTACATGTGATATATCCTTCGCAATTGCACGTACTGACCCAAATAGAATTCTCCAGGCCAAAGTGAAAAATATCGTAGATGGGCTGCCGAACCTGCAGAATCACCTACTTTCGAAGAAAAGTTTAAAGAATGGGTAGACCGTGGTAGAAGCTCCGAAAGCAAAACTGCAGCTCAAGAGCTCGAAGCGTGGGCACAAAATGATCTGTATGATGCACGCGAAAAACATCTGGCGTGGCTTTTTGAACAGAGAAGTGTAGCGAGTCGTCGGCTCAAAATTGAAACCGATCAGAGCAAAATACTCCAATTGCAAAACGTCATCATCCGGTGCACGCTTGGTATCAAAGAATCTATTAGGTTAGAAGAAAGACGGCAAAATCTCAATACGTTAAGAAATAATGTGGAGTTGGAAACCAATGTCCTTGTGAAACTCAGATTACAAGAACTGCTTGAAGTATTGGAAGCCGAAATTGAACTTGAAGAAAAGGTCGAACTAGTAAAACTCCAAGTTCACATGCGTCCGGATTCCGTTTGGCAAAAAGCGAAGGATATGACGCCTGCCGAGCGAGCGGTGCTAGAGATGCCGGCTGAACATCATTTCGCGGCACCTGCACAGCAACCGCCACCTGTGGTACTTCGAGAGTCTTTTGCTGAACAACTTCTGAGAGATAAATGGGAAAAAGAAGATGCACCTGAAGAACTAGAAGATCTTTTCGATCAGATTGGTGAATTCTCCGATTCGGAAGATAGAGACATCTACTGGGAAGCTTTTCAAGATATTCGTCGACCCATTTTACTCCAGAGAAACAAGGAATTGACGGATCTGTGGAAAGAACAAGCGGATGAGGTGAAAGCTGATCGGCAGGATGCTTGGCTGAAATCGGAAGCTGAAGCCGAAGAAAAATTATTGAAATTTCGCCAACTTGATAAGCGAAATAAGGAGGAAGAAGAGGCGAAGAAGCGTCAATTTGCGGATGCCCTCGCGGCGACGGTAGCAAAGAAGAAGATTGAAGATATTGAAGTGGATAAGACGATTGAGGATATTGAGGGAGTACATGATGCGCAAAACGCGCCACCGGTGGTTGGGCAAAGAAAACGGATGGATCTTTCTGGACTCGTGGCCGCTCTTAGAGGCAAGGGAGTCGTTATACCTGAACCATCTACACAAGGTGAAAAGGATTCGGGAAGAAAAGGTCTACTCAGTGTTCGCACAGCGCCTAAAGGAGCTGGAGATGGTGGAGAAGCTGAGACGGCTGTCACCGTTAATGTATCTTTGGCTCCGAAAGATTCCGCGGAAACAGATCCTCGCACCAGTTCAACCGAAGAAGCAGAGAACATATCACTTCCCGAGCCGCGTCCTGGTTCACCCTTTAGACCTGAAAAATCACTTTCGCCGATTCAAGAACAGAGATCAAGTCTTGCCTTTGAAACGGATCGTGAGGTTGCAGATTTCTTGGAATATTTGGCGATGGTGAGAAATAACGAGGAGGTAGTCAGGACAGGTGAAGGCGAACTCATTGATTCAGAGTCGATGCGGGAAAAAGAAAAGAGTGTGATGAATCCTGGCCCGATTGACCCAGCCGAAGAGGAGAAAAGTCAAAAGCGGATTCAAGCCGCGAAGAAAAGATTAGAAAAACTAGTTGCTAGACTTATGATGTCCAAAGAGGAGCTAAAGGCTCTTGAGGAGAAGGAGCGCCAGCAGAGGAAAAGGGCCAAAGAGAAGAAGGATCGTGAAGAGGCGGCTGCCTGGGAAGAAGCTGAAAAACTCAGAAAACAAGAATTGAAGGACGAGGAAACGGCAAGAGGTAAGGGTGAAGCTGATGAAAAGAAAAAGGAGGAGGAGAGGAAAAGAGATGAATTAGCCAAAGCAGACAAAGCCGAGAAGGAGAGAAAGGAGAGAGAGAAAAGAGAGATGGCCCTCAGAGATCAGATTAATAGGGAGAGAGAAGAGAAAGAAAAAGCCGCTCAAATCGCTAGGGATAAAATTGCTAAAGATTTGAAAGATAAGGAAGATAAGAAAAAGCCAGGTGCACCGATTGATGTTGGAGATATTTTGAACAAGATCAAAGATGGTCTCCTGACAAAAGCTGCAGCGGTCACTACTTCATTAGATGATCTCCTGGCTGAAACTAAACGGGTCACTCCTGCGCCTGGAGGGGTCACTCCTTCCACGCCGGGGGGTAAGGGTGAGGACAAGCCTGCGGAAAAACCACCTGCGGATAAGGGCGAGGACAAGCCTGCGGAAAAACCACCTGTGGGTAAGGGCGAGGACAAGCCTGGGGAAAAACCACCTGCGGATAAGGGCGAGGACAAGCCTACGGGTAAGGGCGAGGACAAGCCTGGGGAAAAACCAACTGCGGAGCAAAAAGCAGAAGCTGAGAAGAAACGTGCAGAAATGCAGAAGAAAGCTCAACAGGAGGCAGATGAGAAAAGGAGAAGGGACAAAATCGAAAAGGATAAGAATGATGAAATCGAACGGAAAGAGCGTGAACGGGTGGAAAAAGAACAGGCTCAGGAGGCACTTAAACAGAAAAAACTTGCGGATGAACGTAAAGCTAAAGAGGATAAAGATAAGAAGGAAAAGATGAAGAAGCAGAAAGAACGCGAAGAAAATGAACGCCTAAAGCGAGAGAAGAAAGATGAGCTAGATCGATTGGCAAATGAAGAAATTGATCGTTTGCAGAAGGATCTTGCACAAAATGAACTTCAGCAGAAAGAAAACGAGAAGAAGAAACGTCAGGAGCAGGAGAAGAAAGATGAAGAAGATCGATTGATAGCTGAAAAAGCTAAGAAGCAAAAGGAGAAAGATCGAGTAGAAAGGGAAGAACGTGAGCGGGAAGAACGATTGGCACGCGATCACATTGAGAAGAAACGGAAGGAAAGAGGAGAGGTTGAAACATCAGTGACAGTAGAAAACCTCGAGTCAGAAGCTCAAAATCCTGAACTCAGAAAGGAGAGAAAGGAACGTGAGAAGAAAGAGCAGGATAAAAAGGATCAAGAAGAAGCTGCTGCACTTGCAAAAAGGGCTCAAGGAGGTGGACTTTTCCAAAGCATCGCCGGCAGATTCAATTTTCCCGATCTCTCCTGGTTGAGCTTCAGAGGTCCTACACACTTGCAAGGGAGAGCGGGAACCGTAGCTCCCGATGTTCCGTCTCCATCTACTCGTACTCCTGTCCCGGCTGACTACGAATTGGCCCCTGTAGATATAGCTTGGATGCACGCTTATGCTTCCGAGTCTCCTGAGCGCAGAAAGATTAGTCTCAATCTTACGATTTTCACTTCTGCGAAACAACATTTTCCGGGTGCGGCGCCACCGCATTATTTGGTATGTCATGATATTCCGATACTGTGGAATGTGTCGCAGTTGAAACGACATCTTTCGGCGATCGTGCAAAAGGCGAAGGTGGGAGAGAGGAAAATGGTGAAGCTGAGGATTGAGAGGAGGTGGTTGAAGAATGGGAGTAGGACGTTGTTGGACGAGGGATTTAGGGATTGGGAAAGTGTCGTGGTGATTATGGTGGAGAAGGGTGAGAATGTGAAGGAGGGGGATTGGAAAGAGTGTGTTAGGGAGGCGGATGGATTGGCGGGGTGGATAGAGGGCTGGCCTGGCAAGGGAGCGCTGAGGATGCCGGGGGATAGGAAGCTTTGGTTGGCGGAGGCGTTCGAGGGGGTTTTTGAGAGTCCGGCTTTTGGGAAGTAGAGAGGGTGGTGGTGATGATTTCAATGCTTTGTGAATTGTTATGAATGAGTCATATTCTGTTATTGCTCTGAGTTTTGGTCTCGGTTTTTCCAAGTACATAGTTCAGTCACGTTTATAGATAAAACTGTATCCTTTTTTGCATAGTCAAAAATTTGTTTGCAATCGAAATTGATGTGACATTACATCATCAAATCAAAGTATTGACTTCTATGATGTTTTTGTTGTTCGTTTCCAATAGTATTCCAATAATCACTCTTCTTCCAATAGCCCTAGCTTATTTTTCATCTCAATTGAATGCTTTTATTACTAGCGTGTAGATGAAACTTCTCAACCCTCTTCTATCAGAGATTGAATTTGATCAATTCTTTCAAGAATCACAGGGATGGTCATGACACGGGAATATTTTCCAAAACGAATTTTCAATGTTGATAGGGTTCATAAGAAGTGTAGTGAATGATCTCAAGTCATATATTATACCTAGGTAGCTGTATTAGATGAGCGAGGGTGCTAAATTAGTACAGAATATTAACTGTCTAGCCTGGTGAATAGAATAAATGTGTAGCATCATACTACCTACTGCACCTATTGCGAAGTCCTGCTTTGTATGCCTAGGTATATATCAATTGAAACTTTAATTTTTAATCAAGTGTTGTGGAAAAGATTTATTTCTGCTAGCGTGAAGAGAACAAAGTGAATTGTCGCTCACATGATTGACGAAATGAGACCATAGATCCTCGCTTAAATTTCAAGGAAAATTAGCAAGGCTCGTCAAATTTCTCAATCTCAATTTACATACCTTTCCTCAACACGGCCCAATTCTGATAAACTTGATAAATTACATTAATAAGCTACACCCTCACTTTTTCCCCAAATCAAATGCGGCTTTTGGATTGATATCAACTTACCACCAGCCATGTCTTCTCCCCAGAATACTACCTCCACTGAAATGGACCGCAGATCTTCATTAAGAACTCGAGTTCAAAAACAATCCGATATTAAAGAACCATCAAATTCAGCTCAAAGATCTCTCGGACCTCTTCCCAAGCAAGCCACGACTACCACCGGAACACTTGCCCCGTCTTCAATAAATACTACGGCCACAACATCAGCAACTGCTGATACAGCTAGAAAGTATCGCTCAATTTATCCAAAGCAGGATCCCGACCTAATCCCAAGTGAACAATTGAATCACACAGCTATACCTCCTGCCACCCGTCCCTTTTCTTCTTTTTCACTTAAAAAGAAGACAAGACTTTACAAAAAGGCCCCACCTTCAGTATTAGAAAGACAGGCACTCCCGAGATCATCATCTTTCATTGCAGATTCTACAAACAGGTCCCCAAAGGGACACAATAAGAAGTCAACTACTTTAGCCACAAAGTCTATCCGTCTTCCTCTTACTCACAAGGCAAGTTACAACCCCGAATCTCAGGATGAAGATAAAAAGCCAGCTACACAATCAACAATGGCACCAAAACAATCTACAAGTTCATCCCAGGATCCAACTCAGAAAAGTAACAAGCGTAGTCGTGAGAAGTTTGAGGAACCTGAGTGATTGATTTTTTCCAGCAGCTTTCTTCATCATATCTAACAATTTTCCAGAAAGACTTGCATGATTAGTTGTGGTCTCGGCGGTCAACTGGAAGATTACGCGACATTTTACTTCACAGAAACCGTTTTCGAAGCTTTACTCGAAATCGTACCCCACTTTAACAAGTTTCGCAAGCCTTACTCCAACTCCGTCTATGTTCGCGGATACATGGCCTCATCTTTCAGAGTCATCATTCAATGGCTTACTAAGGGTACAGTTATGCCACTAGAGTTGCATAAGCCAGGACGAGCCGAAGGTCTTTCTAACTACCGTTTTGTCGACGCGTACATCATGGCAACCGATTTCCATATCCCTCGATTGTGCGATGAGCTTATGGATTTGGCTATGAGAGAGTTTTGGGGTGGGGATGATAAAGCAGCCATTCTACCAGATGTTCGGGACTTTAGTACCGTTTATTCACAAACTGATCCGGGTAATCCTTTGAGAAAGCTCTATATTGCTGTTTTTGAGTACGTTTCCATAACTCCTCCCCCTTCCCTCAATCTTTTGAACACAAACTAACACAAACTTCAGCTGGCTCTTGACCTCCGATGAATCCAACAAAGACACCGGTAGACCCAAGATTCCTAGTCACGAGCTTTGGAGCCTCCTTTCCCGCTCTGAAAATGCCGGTATCGACTATATTGAATACTGCAGAAGCCAAATCACAGATCGCGGAACTTATGAGCATCCTCTCGATCCACGAAAATGGAACCTATGCGAATTGCATCAGCATTTTTCTCATCATGACTGTCCTATTTCGATCAAGCGTAGTAATGCGGCTGTAGAGGATGATTGAGCTTGCGGCGTTGCTTGTTCTCCGATAGGATATTTCTGGGTCAAATGTACAGTTTGCGGATATTTCGAGAGAATTTTATGGTATGGAGTGATCTGAGATTACTATCCATGGCTTGGGCGCTTTAATTGTAGCATGAAGTGAGTTTGGGATACCTTTGAGGGGAAAATAGTTACATAGTTAAATAGCTTTCATTGCATTTGTGCAAATGGCTTCAGTTTTCAAAATGGACAAATTTCTTAATTCATGCTTCTCTCATCATTTAATCACATTTTATTATTCCTCCTTTTGCTTCTAGCTAACTATCATTTACCTGCTTGTTGTCTAGAAGGCTTAAAATTATATCTTGGTGAAAGTTCCTCGATGCTCGAAGTGACGTTTCAAAAGAAAAAAGAGCTGTTAATTGATACAACGCCTAGCTCTGTAGATTAGCCAGGCTATTGCATTCTAAGTGTCGTCAGATAAATCTACGCAGTGAACGTGTCGATTCTCGAAGTATGGGTGACCTTAGAATTACCGTGGAAATAGAGATCTAATTTTTCACAGTATTATAACATATATTTTCAAACTCTTGAAGAATTGTAGAAAACACTAATCAATAATCAAGCTTTCATTCAGTCAGCATCACTCTTTTGCAGGTAGTATACGTTGTGAAATTCAATAATTGCTGCATGACTCCTCTCACGAAAATACTGTGGTTCAAATTACATAATCAATTCACTTTAACGTCTTTCCTTCATACCTACCGTACAGGAAATGAAGTGTTTTTAGTTCCGATCTATAATTGCTATATATCTATTTCAGTTTTAAATTCTATTTCTGATCGGATTAAAATAGAAATTATAATTTTCTATATTCTGAAATGAGTTAGTATGATTAAAGTTAATAAATGATTAGGAATATAAAGACAATTAAGAGTATTCAAGTTGATATAAGAAATTTTTTGAAGTTATCTTAGATTTAAGGCTTAAATTTGAGTTATTTTTTTTCCTTTTTTTTCATCGAATTAATATTAATGAATAAGCTAGCGAATATCCTAATAAATGTTTAAATTTTATATATAAAGAATTCACTATTATGATAGAAATTCAAATTAGTTAAAGTTCGATCTGATGAATTTAAATATAATTGTATAAAGAATGTAATAAAGAATATATACGAGTAATTAAACTTTTAACTTTTAGGAAATAATCTATTCTAAAATTATAGAAAGCTTTATATTTATATAATTTGTATTCAATTCTTATTTTCCTACTTTAGGGATTGTAGCCTAAGCTAAAACAGAAAAAGTGAATTAGATAGTTGTAATATAATTGAATATCTAATATATAATCAATCTAAATTGCCTCAATTTCCTACTAGGTAGATACTCGTCATGTTACACTTTAGCGCAACTTGTAATTTTCAAAACGCTTACGTGTGTCTCTCAAAACTTCACCAAACCTTTCATCTTTTTTCTTAAATTATCTTTGAACGACGTTTTGTCTGCTATCTCTTTTAAGCTGAAAGCATTCTCATCGCTCCCGGAAAGATCAACTCAGCAAGATATGACTAGTCAATCGAAGAAGACAGAGGCAAGTGAAGCCCACTTGTGGGAGCTCCAGATGGTTCGATCAGATCTTTCAGACGAAAATGATATTGAGGAGATTCCCATCAGCGAACTTCTCAAGAGAAGTGCAGCAATTCAGAGAACTTCAGCTTATCATGAAGCTCCGGATGTTCTAGGTCAGTCCAGTACAGCAGCTTCAGTATTGGCTGGGAGTAAAGGAAAAACATCGCTGCGATTTCTCGAGGAGCATGGTACTCAAATGGTTGACATTTATGTTGGGGAAGAAAAGATATTGTTTCGTGTAAGTCGATTTATCGTATGAATTGATTTGCATATCTTATATCGCTCATGGTATTCCTCAACCGAAAAACCAACAAGCCACATAGGTTTACAAAGACATTTTATGCCACGAAGTTAAATTCTTCGATAGGATGTTCAACGGAAATTTCAAAGAGGCGAAAGAAAACACGGCGATACTCCCAGAAGATGATCCTGAAGTCTTCGATATGTTAATGTCTTGGATTACATACGATAACGTCTGGTCACTTATGGGTCAAGATTTCCGCAAAAAATTGGATCTTTGGGTTTTAGCGGACAAGTTCTGCGTGACAAGTCTACAAACTCACGTTATGGAAATTTGGCGACACGAAGATGAGGCTTACGGAACTTACTACACAGCTGAGGAGTTCCAATACATTTCTGAGAAGACAGCAAACAAATCAGAACCCCGCCAGTACGCTGTCCGCATGCTTCGATTCCAGTCATTGCAACCGCCAACTGAGGGGCTCGAGTATTCGAACGATTCTCGTGGCGAACCAATTCCATTTTCTGATGTTGATACGACCTCTCTCACAAAATTCCTAGCCAAGAACGAGGAAATGTTGGAGATTTATTTGGATTTATCAAGAAGAGAGGACAACAATTGGAGTGGTAATGATATGGATCCAAGAAACGACGTCTCTTCTATGGAGATGCCATAATCATCCTGACTGCCCATTTCCTTGCTCATATCAATGCACGACAAGATTCTCTTTCTCGTATCTCGAAGGCACTTGGTAACAAAATTTCCTTTCGGATGGGCGGGATACAATTCTTTTCTAGGGGGTCAAGGGGGAAGGAAAAGAAGTATTTATGGCACCAAGATCTTTTTTTGTGAACAAGGATGTTCACTTCAAAGGATTCACTTCAATACAATGGCTACCGTATAAAGAAGGGATTAAGCGAAGGCGAAGAGACTAGCTCTTTCAATAGTGCCTATATAAGGCCTACAACTTTCGTACATAGCTAGCTCTTTAGATAGAATACAATACAGACATTTAGGGGACTACTGATAGTGGGAACCACGTCTTCCGTATCTCATCTCAAACCAACACTTTTGTAATTACATCAAGCTTTCATGTCATATTTTTTTGAAATCTTCACCCAGAAAAAACTTCTCCATAACGTAGTCTTTCGCAAAAGGTGGAGGTGAATGCTACCGCAGTAGCCTCGCGATCCTCCCAGTTGTCTTTTGCAAGTCAACTTCTCAATATAAATAACTCACCTTTGTTCGAGATTTATCAACCACCAAGAAACTCGTTGAGAGGTTTCCATCTTTGGATAATTCCGAACGGTCTCGAGCCTCGATTTCTTGTCACGTAATCAAATACGGCTTCGAAGAATAACTCAAATCAACAACCACACCTTGCTCTGCCATTGAAGATTTAACGAGTCTACGCTGGCCCCCCTCAAAGTTTCGAGAACGCGCAAACTATTCTGGAGATCTTTTAAGATCCAGATGCTCAAGTGCTTGGATACTAGAATGTGAGTTAAAATGATGTTCGAGAGACTCTCACAGGAGGAGGCTAATGATGTCGTTTTTTAGATTAAACATGGCTTCCGAAACAAAACCCAAAACCCTAAGCAATGGCGCTTTTTCTGAGTGAGATACCCCACCCAAACACTATAATTAGTGAAATTAATGTTTCTTAGTATCGCAGGCACTCAAATGGTTGATCTATTCGTTGGACCTGACAAGGAGCTTATCCGTGTTCATAAAGGCATCCTCTGCAGAAAAGTTCCATACTTCGATAAAATGTTCAATGGCCCTTGGGTGGAATCTGCCAACAACTCAGCCACTTTCCCTGAAGACACATTCGAGTCGTTTGACTTGCTTATAGGCTGGGTCTATAGCGGACGTATTTCTCAGCCCACCTGCAGCCATGAGGAGGATTTCGTGCGCTTTACATGCAGTTGCCACAGTTTATATTTGACCTGTGAGAAGCTATGTTTATCAGAGTTAATGGACGAAATTATGGATCGTTTGCGTGACTCCCAGCGAGTCCATCGAAAGATGCACAGCTTGGAGTATATTAAAAAGATATACAAAGAGTCCCAGAAAGGCTCAGGATATCGTCTATATGGGTTGCACACTTTGATCTTTGTCTTCAGATCACCACAATCTTTCTACACAACAAAATGGCCAACCAACTTGATGCATTGTATCCTCAAAAATGATGATGATCTTTGTAAAGATTTTCTTGTCGCCTTGAGAGATGAGGTATCCAATAATAAAGCCATAACTGACCCAAAACTTGGGAACGATTGTGTATATCACAGTCACAAGCTTGGCAAGGAATGCACTAAAAAGCAAAACAAGCTCAAGAGGAAAATCTCTACAGCGATGCTCTCAGATGATTGAAAGATCTGTCGACGCCCATTTCTCATTCGCATCGGCTGAACATGCCTGTTTCTCGGCCTGGTGTCGTCCTAATTAACCAATATCAAGCAAATTTTAAAACATAGTCTTTTCTTCCTTGAACTATTTGTGTGAATGAAAGTTTTGTGACTTTTTTGCAGTGAATTTAGTATGCAAATTGAAAAAATACTTGCATCTGATATGAAGAGCGTTACAAGTCCAATATATCCCCTTTTGACGCTAGGGCACAGTCGGATGGCTGGAGCTAAACCCGTGACTTACCGCCCACGACTCTCACCTTCTGTTCGAACTTCTTAGGACAATTCACTTTTTTGGTTTGCTTGAAAAAATTGATGAATACGTAGATAAGTCTTCCAAATCTTTTCCCGAAAATCATTGACTCGACTACAAAATTTGAATTCTCGAATTCGACAATAGATCTTCTGCAGAACCATTTCTATCATTCAAACGCGCAAGTATTCCAAAAGTGCTTCTTACTTCATTCTGGGAAATGACCTTCCTGCTAACTACATCTATAGATCTTGCATTTAAGCTCATCTCGAAATAGTCTTCTCAATCATATCAAGAATGTCGTCACCTTTCGGTGGACGCGGTACTTACAGAGGCTCTGCTCGTAGGGGCGGTGGAGGCAGTGACCATACTCGCGGTAGCTTTGGAAGTACTCGCGGTAGTTGTGGAAATGCAATGGTCGATCTATCTAGTAAAATGAATGATCCGTTTAGTGCAGTAATTCAAAATCCGGTTGCTACGGACAAGACAAATGAAGCTGAACGCCCTGTCAAGATTGATCAAGCTACCACTATCACTTTTCTTAAGTATGTTTCAAAGTAAACAATAAAAAAAGAATTCCAGCTAACAGTATAAAGTAAAACAGAAATGGTCGATCTCATAGTAGGCCCTGAAGAAGCTCTTTTTCGAGTCCATAAATCCTTTCTCTGCAACAAGATACAATACTTCGATAAAATGTTTAACGGTGGATTTAAGGAAGCGAAAGAGAATTCGGCAAAATTTCCCGAGGACCTTCCTGAGTCTTTTGACATACTTATTGAGTGGGTATACTCTGGACACGTTCGATTTTATGAGGTCGGGGATAATGCCGGCCCGGAGAACTGGAATTTCCTATGCTTTTACGCATTAGCAGAAAAGCTTGGTCTCACTCAGTTGGAGGATCGTGCACTGGACATTTATCGACACAGTTGTAGAGCTAAGAATTCAAACTTTGGCATGGACTGGGCTACAAAGGCATACCAAATCACTCCAGAAGGAGCAGCACTTCGACGATATACTATCCAAGTGTTGGTTTGGAGATTTCACACCCAAGAAAATTTGGGTTCCAATCTCAATGACCATTTCATCAAGGCAATGCAAAGCGACAATGATCTCTTTACAGACTTCATGCTTGCACTTCGCAGACATGTCAAAGTGGGAGCACCAACAGATCCGAGAGTCATTGATCCAAAGATTCCTGCCACCAAATGCGAGTACCACAATCATACAAAGGACGAGGAATGCTATAGGCATAACAGAACTTGATTAGTAATACGAACGGAATTACTGCTAAGAAAATGGGGGAATAAAGGAGTCTTCTATGTGAAGGTTCGGTTCAATATACAGTCATAATATCTCTTTCTTTGAACGAGTACAGGCTTTTACATCACATGTACTATGACAGTCATTCATCTCCATGAGACCTTTTTGTATTCTAGCAGAGAAATAAAGCCACTGAAGTTTTCAGAACTCAAGAGTTACCTACGTTTGGAACCCATTCATCTATCAAGCAGGCTCACGCTTAATTATGCGCCAGGTCTCGTCTGACATTTAGTTCAATCCAAGTGATTCTAGCCCAAACTTTCTGTGCACTATGACATGTCGATGTTTTCCTTCTTTGCGTCTTATTCACACATATCCCTTGGCCTTATAGAGCTTCACCGTCTAATCAGCCTTTTTTCTTTCTCTTCTTCTTCTAGAACTAATACTTTCGAATTAATATTTATAGAGGCAGAGAGAAAATCTAAATTTATGTTACATGTTTTTGATTGGATGATTGAGTCCTCTTAGATATGTCTTTCAACAAGTCCTCTACATTGTATTAAATTATGAAAATGATCAACGATTAATACGGTTCAAGTTGAAGAGGTTAATTTAATGACTCCGGGTATCCATACCTTTACAACCTTCAAACAATTGAAATGTGTCTAATATAAGTCACTAGGTATGCATCCATCGGAATTATACAGTAGACTATTTTGAAAATCTGGTGAAGTGAACCTATTCACTCATGTTGATTGCTAATCCTACGTGGATCTCAATCATGATTTGTAAGAGTTCTGGAACCTACTTACTGTACCCCTATAACAAATGTAACAAAATCCCTGCAAAAAATGAGTTTTTTTATATAAACTAATAAATCTAATGTTTAATTGGAACCTTTGTATTTATTTTTTAAAAAAAATCAGAAATAATAAATAATTGTAATCTAAACATAAAAAATTAATTGAAATATTTTTTATTATTTTTGTTGATTAATTATTCAGAATTGAAATCGAAAATTTTCAAAAATTCTAACAAGTAACATTTTTCCTATATAAAATAAACAAATTTTCATAAAAATTTAGAGTTTTCAACTTTAATTGTTTCAAATCCTATTTAAAAAATTAGAAAAAAATATTCTATTTATTTTTCTATTAAATTTGATTAATTAAATAATATTTTCCAAGAGAATTTTCAATTTTATCTTTAATTATAATAAATAAACTAGGATATAAAAAGTTGAATAATCCTATATTTTAGCCGAAAAAGCGTTACATATACGGTAAGTAGGTTCCAGAACTCTTAGTATCTAGGTATCAAAAAGTTCGTTACTTGCCGTAACATTACATTCAATAAAGGCAAACTCATTACAAAATATCTTATAAGTTGAACTCGAAGTCTCAACCTCGCAGAGATTTTAATCACCGACAACTACAAAGGAGATTTACTGGTTAGCACCCTAACTCAACATGGATCCCAAGTCAGAGGCAAAATCAGACCCTGAATCAACTCCAAAGTCACATCCATTTCTCAGGTCAGTGCTAATTCCAATTTCCTCTCGAGCGTCTGGACCACGCTAACAATAAATAGTAATATCGGTATCGAGACGGTCGATCTATATGTCGGTCCAAATCGTACGCATTATCGAGTGCACAAGAATATTCTCTGTACCAAGATACCATACTTCAATAAAATGTTCAACGGCGGTTTCTCAGAGGCTTCAAACAACTCCGCAGAATTTCCCGAAGATTTTTCTGAGTCATTTGATGTATTACTTGAATGGGCGTATTCTCAGTATCACCCACTCCGACCTTTGAATCGTGTTTCGCCCGGCTCTGTTTCTACAAATTGGAACACTATCAATTTTTACCTACTTATGGATAAACTATGCATACCAGACCTGATGAATGAGGCAATGGATCTCATGCGACAGTTTGATAAAGACAATGACTTTCTACCCTCAATTAACCACGGAATCTGGGTTTACAGAAGATCGTTGCCGGGCTCAAAAATACGTTTATATGTATTAAACAGCTTACTCTATGCCTTTTCCTTGAACCAGGAGCCCGATCTAACACCGATGGCCCTTTTGATGGGTGTAGTAACAAGAGAGACTGATCTGACTGCCGATTTCCTCACAGCCGTTCGAGGTCAAGTCCGTGGGGGCCCAAAGTCGACCAATCCATCAGCAGGTGATGGTGGTATTTATCATATTCATGGAGAAGGAATCGGCTGCAGCTGTTCGTTGAGTTAGAGAAGATGCGGCTCAAAGTCGAAGAGTCTCCAGCCTTCTAGAGTGGGGAGGGTATTTATGGATCTTTTGACGGGCGGAAATGAGAGTGGCTGCAATGACTGAAGATCCTAGCACCATTGCCTAGATTTACATTGTCAATTTTTATTCTGAGTTACAAGACTGTTTCTCAAATCTAGAAGCTTTAACATGTGATATATACTGGGTGAACCTATCAATTACCGTTCTCTTCCAAATGTTGTTTCGAGGATGGTGTTGAGGCGAGAAAATAGTTCATGACTTTTGGTGAATGCATACACCATTACCAATTACACTTCCGAGAAAGTTTCTTTTTCCAAAACATGATTTCCAGGCTTTTATTAGAGAGTGGATGATTCAATGTAGTTTCTACTCTAGCTTTCGTAATTAATCTTCTAGTAATCCGTCAACTCAAAACTTAAAGACCTTGTTTTGAAACTCGATAAAGAACGTTGAGACAGATAAATATCTTTTTATGGTATCTCGCTAGATTTTTAAAGTTTCCATCTTTCTAATCAATAATTATCCTGTTTTGAACTAAACTCGAAGTGTGCTAATTGTAGAGAGATTTAACAAGTGAGGAGGAAGACAAATTGGATTTCTCGAAGAAACAGAAGTTCATGAGCAGAATGACGTTCTTGAAGTGAGTACAGTGTCCCTGCATTTTACAGATGTTTAGTCGCTTGGTAGGGTAAGAATATTTTGCTGAGTTAGGACTAGGAAAGCGGGGACTCATATACTAGATATCAGAGTCGGGAAAGAATTGACGTTGTTCCCAGTGTAGGCAATAGTATTTCCCGTAATCCGTATACGGGCTAGATAATAGTAAGAGTTATCGAACATACTCACCGCACAGCGTGAGGTTTTGTGACATAATCCCTGCAAAATTCATGTTTTCCTATATAAACTAAAATCTTATATAATTTATACAATTATTGATATTAATTTATAAAAACTTTGTAATGAATAATTTGAATTATTATTTATATATGAAAATTTCGAATTTATTTTTAAATATTTTTGTTGAAAAATTATATAAGCTTTTAATTGAAAAAGTTCAGAATTTTTAACTTGTAATGCTTTTCCCATACAAAACAAGCGAATTTTTCGAATTTTTTCGAATTTTCAACTTTAACCCCTCAAAAGTACTATTATAAAAATATTTAAAAATAAATGATATTTTTTTTGAGTAATTTAAGTAATTTTAAATATTTCTGTAATACTATATTCAATTTTATCTAATACATTCATAAATAAACCAGGGTATAAAAAGCTGAATAATCGTATATTTTAGCCGGAAAAGCGTTACATGTGCGGTGAGTAGGTTCCAGAACTCTTACATATCGATTTTTCTTCGAAATATATATATATATAATATGGAATTCGATACCACTAAAGATATTTAATATCATTCTAATATTGAATACTACTAATAAAATACAGAAATACAAATCTCTAATTAATACGGAATAAGCTGATATATACGAATTTGAGGTTATTCCTAGATTTCAATAATATCAAATTATATATTCAATTGAATTATTATTAATTAATAATAAACTATTAATATTATCAAATATTTTGATTTTTTTGATATCTTTAAATATGAATATTGATATTAGAACATTATTTTTATAAATTCAATCATTTTGAAAAATCTAGAAATAATTAATAGAATAGTGATTTTATTAAATCTTTTATTATTTAATAAAATAGAATCCCTAAATAATTTTTTTTTTTATTATTCTATTCTATCTTACTTTTAATCCTTCAAAATATCTTCTACTTATACATTTAATATTCTAAATTCTATTGATTTTATTTTCTACAAGAATAACTCTCAATCTAATTAATTTCTATTTTTTCACAATTTTCCTATTTTAATTAAATCTATTAAATCTTTATAAAATGATTTTTTTGATTTTAATCCTTCAATTCTTTTATTATCTATATCAATATCTATATTCTTATTTAATATTAAGGATTCTAATATATTTATAAATTTAATAATATTAGTAATTTATTATTAATAAATATAAGTTTGGAAATATATACTAAATGAGAATTTTTAAATAATATATTTTATTAAAAAAGATAAAATAAAATAAAGATATAATTATTATAAAATTAAATATCTTAAAATTAATAATATTTAGATTATATCAATATATCTTTGAAGTATATATCAAATAATTAATACTTCAATTCGAGAAAAGTGTTTTCAGTATATATAAATTATTATTAAGCAAATTTTTATTAATATATACAAAATTATTATTTTTAAATATAGGAGAATAATTGATAAGAAGAAGGATTTCGATTATTTGTTTGAATTTTATATTATTGATTCTCAAACTCTTGAGACTCTTATAATTTAATTTTTTATTCAATATTCTTTATTACCAAATTTCTTTGAATATAATAAATTTCGAATTCTTTTTATTTATTTTAATAAACAATTGAATATCTAGATTCTTAGTTTTTATTATATTATTTCAAAATAGATTACTTATAATTTCAATAAAAATAAATTCAAAATGAAATAAAAAATATATTCTTTTTATAATAAAATTTATATTATTTATAATATCTAGATTTTCTTTAATAGATATAATGTTTTTGATATTTAAACTTAGTTTATTAACAAAATAAACAAATTACAAATTATTACTTTTATATTAAAAGAGATTAAAGATTATTATATTAATAAAAATCTTGTAAAACTTTTATATAATAAAATTGATAAATAGGAAATTATAAGCAAATTAGAGTATTTAATAATAAATAATATATCAAATAATAATATTTTATTTATTTATTTTTTAAATTATAGATTTTCCCTTTTTCCTCTTTTATTCTTTTTTTGATTTTATTAATATTTTTGAATATTTCTTAAATCTTATTAATAAAAATAATATTGAATAGAATACTATATAGAATTGAATTCGATATAATATATATAATATCAATCTCTTTATAAAAACATTTTTATTTAAAGATTTTATATTTGAAAATTAAGCTTTTGATTCAGATTATAATTTTGAAACTTTTATATATAGAATTGATTTGATTTCAAAATTCGATTATGAATATTGAAAAAAGAAAGGTGTGATAAGTAAATGTTATAATTTTATTTTTAAAATTAATAATTCCTTTTGTTTATTATAATAATAGGATAGATTAATAGGAAAACAATTTATAAAAGATAACTCAATTTGATAGAATTCTATTAATAATTTTCTTTTAATATTTCTTATATCTCAGATATATTATATATATAAAAAATAATGGATTTAATATTTAAATAAGCTTTTTATAGAGTTTAAGCTAATAAATAATGATTTTAATTAATTACAAGATATTTATTATTTTTTAAATATTTTAAAAGATATAATAGAGTTTATAAAGGGCAATAATACTATTTTTGAGAGAGTTCTTTTTATAATAAAGTTTTTGTTATAGTATTTTGAAAATAGAAAGGTATAATCTATATTCTTTATTTATATATTCTTTATTTATATATTCTTTATTTATATATTCTTTATTTATATATTCTTTATTTATATATTCTTTATTCTATATCTCTTTATTTACTTATTCTATTTATATCTAATCTTATTTAGATTATCTATACAAGCAATTTATTTTTAGATTTCTATATTAATAATAAATAAACAAAACTCGAAAAATACTATTTTTTCATTAATAGATTATTATATTATATTATTATTGTTATATTAAATTCTATATAAAAATGATTATATTTTGAAGAATCTTAAAAGAAATCTTATTTATTATAAATCGAAAAATAAAAGAATAATATTAAAAGATTTTGAAAAGATTAATATAAGCTAGATTTCGAAGATTTATTTCAATTAATATTTGAAGAAATCTTTTTTAACATATTGATTATATATTTATAAGCTAAAAAGATATTTTGTTATATAATAAACAAATATATAAAATATCTTATTATTTTTTCTTTTGAATATATTCAAGATTCTTATAAATAATGATTTGATTTTATATAATAATAAGTATACTCTAATTTAAGCAAAATAATATTTAATTTGTTTAGTATTCTTAATATATTTATTTCTATTAAATGCTTATTTTCTTTAGTAAAAATTATTATTATAATAAAATAAAATTAATTTCAAATTGCAATTATTGAAAGAATAGAATACTTAAAATCATAATTAAATTTGGATTTGTAAATAAAAGATAATATAGAATTCAAGAATTTAAATAAATAAAAGATAGGATTTACTTTTTTGAATAGTATTTTTTTATTATTCAAGTTTTATTGAAATTAGTTTTGATTTTTAAAGTTATCTTTTATGTATTTTTAGATTTTCATATTTCAATTTTCCTATATATCTTTATAGATATCAGTTTTGAGTGATATCTATAATAGTGAGTTTTCAACTATTTAATATATATTAACTATTATATTAAAAGCTTTATACACACCACTGTTTTATTATAGTATACTATTGCCTACACTGGTTGTTCCGGATTCATAAAGCACATCTATTTACACGCGTACCCTACTTTGATAAGGTGTTCAATTGTGGATTTTCAGAAAGCTGAACAAATAGTGCAGTACTCCGAGAAGATAACACAGTAGCTTTCGACGTGTTGGTAGGTTGGGTCTACACGAACAGATTACCACCAGATGGCAGCTTCTGGAATCCGGTCGAGGTTTATATTCTAGCTGATAAGATTTGTCTTACTGAACTCATGGATGAAGTCATGGATGCAATCCAGACCGATTTTCCACTTAGCTCACCGGATGCTTTAGTCATTTACAGCAGACTACCGAAGGATTCCAAGCTTCGTCTTTTTGCGCTCGATATAATAACTTTCGAGTTTAACACTTTCAGACAGCTCAATTTACCCATACTCGCAGATGTAAACGCAAAAAACGAGGATTTTGCATTAGACTTTCTGATCAGAATCCAAAGTTATATGAGCCGTCGAACGGTTATTCCCAATCCAAGGAAAAGCTATCCCTGCACGTACCACTGTCATGAAGATGGAAAGTGTACGAGCACAAGAAACCCGAAATTTTCAGATGTGAAATTTTTTTTGCAAGGCAATGTTTAACGTATTACTAATTCCTGATGGATCTCAAGAAAAGGTTTCGCCGATACAAAGAGAACTCAGAACTCCGGAACATTCCTCGTATAAATACTAAATGGGAAATGGATATGGTTTCTCAATGAGACTTAGCGGTCGAAGAGGGGGGGGAAGGGGGGGGTAATTCTCACAATTCATGCTATTACAAAATCAAATTTCATCCTACCCGTGCCAAAAATTTGTGTGAACATCTCGAACAATTCATAGCTCGCCAAGATTTTTCAATATATCATCTTGATTTCTCTCCCTTTGTAAGCACCATAAGTCTCATTAGTCTATCCCCATTGTGTACCTACCTTGATTGACTTATGCTTTCTAGATTAATACAAACAAAGAAATCGGTGCATCATGTGTCTCCTGAATTAGGCGACCCTGGCTTACATAATCTAAACCAATTTCAGAACATTAAACAAATCATGTGACGCTAATATAAAAAATCTAAAATTGTTGATCAAAAGAGGTATTGATTTGTTGTCAAAAGAAAAGTAACTCAAGTGTTGAAATTAAACTCAGTCGATTTGAGCAAATACGGAAATGCTTGAAAGACACATGGAAATAGCAGTCATAACTTGATCTGGTATCAACATCCTTTTGTGTGCGTCATGCTTTCAATTTCCTGGTTGCTCCTCTCAAAATGCCGTGATACTGATAGGCAATCGTCTTCTACATCAACTTGCCTTCATCCACGGCGTCATACCTTGGGCACTACTCATACTATGTCTGCATCGGTTCAAAATGACTTAAACCATAAACAGATATTATACATGCTGGTATATACTAAGAAAATTACAGGATGAATTTTGAAGTCTATGCTCAAAGAATATGATTCACGACAACGAATACTTGTTTTTCGCAGAGTTTTGAAATGTTTGGATAGTAAAAATCATCATAACTGTAACCATCGGTATGACCTTTAAGCTTGACATCGTAATTATGACTATAAGAAATAGAAACAGCCTATGCATTATATAGTACTGCCAATCATGGTACGGATATATGCTTCTAAGATTTCCGTCGGATGCAAATTTGCGATCTCTGAAGCCGTGAGTCCGCGCAACGGTCATCGGAATCATTCTTTTCGTATTGCAATTCTCACTTGCTGTTTTAAGCTCGCAGACTTGGCCAATTTATATAGACGTTCCGGGCCGCTAGTAGCTCAAGTTTATGCAGATTATTAAGACAGATCCCCATTCCACGTGTAGGCTTGCATGTGATTTCAAGACCAAAATCAATTAATAACTCTATATATCTCTACAAAGAGCACTAATTATCAAGTCACGGAGATTTGTCAGGGATAATGTTGGAGAGAGGACCAAGGGTGGAAGAGCCGTCTCGGAATTGACGAGGAGGGTTCGGTAGGGATTGACCTTCTACGATTACGGTCAGTTTGTCATTTCCCTTTTGTCAAATTGAGCATGTGTTCTTAAAGAGATGACAGCAACAAAAACATAGATGAAATCTAAATCGACAACTATATCAAAGACAGATAGATAGATAGCAACGTGAGATTACGTGAACGCCTGGTTCACATCCATACCTTCAAAGATTCTTGTTTCTCACGTAGAAAACTTCCGAATGTCTTGAACTCCCGAATAGGATGGGATGTTTCTCCGCTGAAAGGCTTTGATAAGATCCGGACTTACTTAGTCTTGTCTTTTGTATTGCGAAAGTGCTTTACACCTCAAAGGAGGCAAATCTGGAAACTTAATCAAGAAAAGCATAAGTGAATCTCGCTATAAGGGATAATCAGACGGTTTTAACTTCCATAGAGGCATGAGAATGTTATAGATGATAGTAGTTGCATATCAGATTGTGTCGAGCTTTTATTATGCCCCCCTGTGTCCCTTGAACCTTCATGATCCCCTAGTTGAGTCACCAAATATCTTACCTGCTATCGTCAAAACAATACAAAAACTGGTATTCACAACAAAAGTTTTGGCGACAGTAACAATGAATAGAAAAAACCCATATCAACGACAACGGATGAGAAAAGCCTTTCACAAATTACCATACACCAAAACAAAAATCTTGCCATCATATTTTGTGCTTGATTTCTTTCTTTAAAACCCTAGGTAGTGAGTTCATACATAAGTTTTCTGATCAATTTCCAAAAACTAGCCGTAGCAGACTTCACGTGTTCATCTGCACAATTGGAAATTTGATGACTGGCCTGATATCGCAGTGAAAGAAACTCTTATCACCCAATAATTGCGGCTCTCCATTTCAAACTTGTCGCTCATTTCGATAATTATGTGAATAGCCACCGAAAATGCCACTTTACACTTGAAACTTAGTCATTGAAAGATGGTACGCTAGAGATTTCGGCTTGGTTTTGAGGCACAACTTCACCAGGCTAACTTGTTTGTGTCTATTTCAAAGTCATATTTCTGCCTCGTCTGAAATTATCGTGTCGAGACTTTTCCGATATCTTTCTGTATGCTGCACAAGAACAAAGCGGTTCTCCTCTACTCGAAAATTATTGTGTTTACGGCTGGCAGATGATCACGTGATACTTTTGAACTGTATGATTTGGAGTCCTTGCTAGGGTAGATGAAGGGGTAGGCGAAGCACATGCTCTCTCCTCCACAATGGATGCGAAAAATGAAAAGTTATGAAAAGTTATTCGAATCTGAAGGTAGCATTTAGCCATGTTTGCAGCTCATACGCTAATGTAAGAGAGCGGCGTTTGTTGGTAATATCTTGTTGCACTGTTAGAAACTAGGGTAAGGGAAATGCGGCACAGTAACAAGACTTATTAAAACTACATTTTTGATCCGCCCTATGTCTTTTTAAATACAACCACGACAGCAAGAACCAAGCTCTAGCTTTTGTAGACTAGTTTCACAGTTTCTTGTCAACTTGTATCTTTCAGTCGTGCGAAATACAAAGCACCCTCACGGAGCTGTGTCTATAACCCGAGACTGTTTTTTGTATCTTCCTTTGTGATCTTCGAATTATTCAGCATGTGGTGGCCATTTAGTAAGAAGTACCCGGAGCGGCACCCGAAATGTGCGGATGGCCAGGCCTACGACTATATTGTGATTGGAGGTATCTTCACTTGTTCACTTACAATCTATCTTTTCGTATCATGCTTTTCTGGCTCTTGACTGACACATGCTCTCAAACCGAAAGGTGGTACAGCTGGTTGTGTCCTGACTTCACGATTAAGTGAGGATCCAAATGTGTCTGTCCTACTTCTTGAGCGCGGGCCTGCCAACGATAACTTCATGTCCCGCATACCCATTGTTTCATCGAACATCTTACGCTCTGATGGCGGTGCCTCCAGCTGGAAATGCGAGCCTACGAAGTATTGTGACAATCGCCGAAGCTTGGCATTCTGCGGAGAAGTTATGGGTGGAGGCTCTAGAATCAACAGTATGGTTTACACACGTGGCACTGCTGCAGACTACGATTCCTGGGCACAGCTTGGTCATCCGGAATGGAGTTATGACAAGCTCTTGTCTTATTTCATGAAGAGCGAAACTGTGGTGGGCTCACAAAAGTCAGAGTATCGTGGGACTTCTGGTGTGTAATTTTAACCAAGATTAATCAAGTGATTTTGAGAGCTTATGGCAGTGTAGGTCCATGGATTATCCGGACATTCCCTTTTCATACTTGGGGATTCGGCGCATATCGGTTGTAAGTATACCTTGATACCTACAATGCCTAATTTGCATTTGCGTGTGTCGTCAAGGCTTACTTTTCCTAGCTTTTCAAATGCCGCTAAAGCTCTAGGCTTTATTCAGATTGACGATCCAAACACACCTGACGCCATGGTTGATGGTCTTACAACAGTATACTCTACAGTAAACGAGCAGAGGCAGAGAGTATCTACATTTGACGCTTTTCTTCCTCGAGATATAGCTTTGGAACGAGAAAAACATTTGACAATCTGCACTAACACGATTTTATCACGAATTGCCTTCTCGAAAGAGGACGGAGTTCCGCGTCCCGATATGGTCTTCTTCAAACTTGCTAACTCGAAATCTGACAAAACATACTCGGCTAAAGTAAAAAGAGAAGTGATTGTTTGTTCGGGCGCTCTGGGCTCACCCCAAGTTTTAATGTTGAGGTAATCCACCATTTCTCGGGCTTCAAACACTCATCAAATGGTAAGACATGCTAACCGTGAAATTTAACAGTGGAATTGGACCCCAGAAACATCTAGAAGAGCATGGAATCAGTGTTGTGAAGGACCTGCCGGGTGTTGGATCGGGACTGGTACGGAGCGAACCCCCAAATTATGCCCGACAAGAGGATCAATCATGCTGACTTTTTAATAGAGTGATCATCACGGTATTCCAATTGCATGGAAAGTTCCAGTCAAGGAATCACTCACTAGACTAGTGATCCATCCAATGCTAGGCGTACTGGAATTTTTCAAATATATATTTTTCCGTTCCGGCATTCTCAGCATGCCCATTAATAATATAACTCTATTCGTTCGATCCTCGGTACTCAACCAGGACTATGCTGGAATTGACAATGAAAAGCTTGCCACAGCAAGTAGTCAGATTCAGGATTTGATTCCAGACATTGAGCTCATGCCTCTTGCTGTCACAGCTATGGATGATTTAGAGGAGCACCAACGTTTATTTTCCAAAATGGGCATGTTCTCTATCTTGGCCACTCTCGCGAAACCAAAATCTCGTGGGACCGTTCGTCTTGCGTCTTCAGACCCCCACCAGAGACCCAAAGTCGATTTTGGCATCCTATCAAATCCTGAAGACTATGTTGTTGCCCGAGCCTCTGTAAGACTTTCCTTGAAACTTGCAGAGACTATGAGGGCTTCTGGTTTCCCGCTACAAGAGAACATTACTTTTCCAGAAGATAAACAGGCCATAGATGCGAAGAATAACAATGACGAAGAAATAGATAAATTCATCAGGCGTAGGATCAGGACGATATATCACTATTCTTCTAGCTGCAGAATGGCTCCTGCGGATGATGCTCAGTCTCCCGGTGTA